GAGAGAGAGAGAGAGTAGAATACAACATACCCCTGAGCGTGTCCCAGACCTCCTCCTCCTGCTCGCCGAGCCCCAACATCAGGCTCGTCTTGGTGATGACGTCGTCGCCCTTGTACTTCTTTATGTCCTCGAGCAGGGCCAGGCTGCGGCGGAAGGTGGCGCGGCGGTCGCGGACGTAGGGGGTCAGGCCCTCGACCGTCTCCATGTTGTGGGCGTAGACGTCGAGGCCGCTGTCGGCGACGAGGCGGGCCATGTCATGGTCGCCGGCGAAGTCGCCCGTGAGGGCCTCGACGAGCAGCGTCGGCTTCTTGGCCTTGATCTTGCGGATCGTCTCGGCAAAGTGGCGGGCGCCGCCGTCGGCCAGGTCGTCGCGGTCGACGCTCGTGAGCACGACGTAGCCCAGCCCCCAGCGGGCCAGGGCCTCGGCCACGTGCTCGGGCTCGTGCGGGTCGAGGGGCGCCGGGTTGCGGTTGGTCTTGACGCTGCAGAAGCGGCAGCCGCGCGTGCACGTGTCGCCCATGAGCATGATGGTGGCCGTGGCGGCCGCCTTGGAGGAGCCGCCCCAGCACTCGGTGATGTTGGGGCAGCGCGCCTCCTCGCACACCGTGTGCAGGCCCAGGCCGCGCAGGTCGGCCTTGATGCTGCGGAAGTTGTCGTTGCTGCCCGGGTTGGGGAGCGGCGTCTTGAGCCACTCGGGCAGCCGCGTGATGGTGCGGCGCCGGCCGGCCGGGCCGACCTCGGCGGTGCGGAGGGTGTAGGCCTCGCTCGGCGACAGCGGGGCGGCGGAGCTGACAAAGTCGGAGAAGGGCGCGACGGTCGTGTCCTTGAAGTACGTCGGCCGGGGGGCGGCGGGGTCTGTTGTTGGTGCTAGTGTGGCGGCGGACTCGCTGCTGCTGTCCCTACTGCTCGCGTTTGTGCCTGTGCTGGCCCCTGGAGAGGAGACGGTGGTTGCGTATGGCCTTTCGGAGCCGACAGATGGGGCGGCGAGGCACCGCCGGAGCGAGCCGACGGCGGAGCGGCGGAGCGTGGAGGGGAGTGCTGATGCCATGGTGGGAGAGGGGCCTCGGGGCCTGGCAGCGGCGGTGCTTTGGAGGTCGTTCGGTGTGTATTATATCTAGGTAGGTACCTACGGATGACCGTCCACACATCAAGGGTTGGCAATCCGACGCACCGGAGAGGCTCCGACGAGGGCGGCCGACCTGAACTGGAAATTTCGTCGCGTGGGGCGCCGCCTTTGCCCGCCACTGGCCGCCAGTCCGGCGGGCACCGTGCCCCCTGCGCTTGGCCAGCGGGAAAGTCACGAGATCCCGCCGTCTCGAATCCTGCAATTGCCACAGCACAATTGCCACAGCACGTGATGCGCTATGCCAACCACGCTGAATGAAGCCTTCTCGCCTGCCTAGAGCCTAAATGCATCTGCTGCATATCAAGCGCATGCTGCACCCGTTGATGCACCTGAGCGCGTGGATACTTTTTGGCAGCTGTCGTTTTTGCTCTCAATAGCCACTGCACGGTTATTCGTTGGCAAAGTCATGAAACCGACATGGAACCTGGAACAACTCGGTCTAGTGTCAAAAGGCAGAGGCCCCTGGACCGATTCATTGGCTGGTTCCCCTGAGTCTGCGTCTGAGGAGCGACAGAATCAGACAGAATGGATTGAATGGCACAAGCATGCAATCGAGTGGGAGAAACACCACCTTCAACCGCCAACCTCTGGAACCCCAAGCACCCAAGGCAGCCAACCACGAAAGCCCCGCAGGCTCCGACTCCAGCCACGCGGGCCTCGTCATGGCGCCAGGCGTCTATTGAATCCCGCTTTTCGGGAAGCGAGGGGCTAAACCACAGCTGCCTGTTCTAGGAAGTCAGTCCACCACCAGCTAGGTACAGTGCTGTACCCGCCACCCAGCGGAGGCTGTCGAGCCGCGTCGGCTTTGCAGCAGCAGGCAGGAGCATTGAAACAAAAGGCCACGGACAAACCAAGGCGCAAGATACACAGAATACACAAATCCGCCAAAAGATCAGGCCGGAGAGCCCGTGTGTAGCAGTGTTGCGCTGCGTCCTGCCGAGCGCTGTTCGCTCTTTGGCCCGATTGTAATTGACAGCCATGACGACAAGCCAAACTGGTTCGTAGGATGTTGCTGGGCCATCGTTTTGTGGCTCGTATCCAAGTCAACGGCTGGGACAGGGGAGGTCCGCTGTTAGGTGGCGACCTGGGCTGTGTAGGGCGCCCCGCCCAGCAGCCTCGGTCGCCCGTTAACAGCAGCCCAGGCTCTCTCGCATGCATTGACTGGGAACCGTGAGGTTGGGGTGGGGCCGCCTCTCTCTGGCCTGGGCCAAGTCGCAGCGCCTCTCGCTCCAAGAAGTCCAGTGCCACCTCAACGCACAGGGTGCCGCCGCCAGAGCAGTGCCGCCGCCAAGTGGGTTCTGTATTTTCCAGGCGCTGGCCCGTTTTCTGTTTCGGGGGCCATTGTCTCCTCCTCTCACTTCAATCACCACCTACCACCTACACCTCCTCCCCCCTCTCTGCACATCTGCGAGCCAGATCGCAAACCCACGAAGCCGTCGTCGCCGTCGCTCGCTCGACTTCTTTTTTTTTCCCTTTCGCATCCGCAGTTTCTATCAAAAGAAGCCGCTCATCGACAAGCCGCGGGCGAATAAACGCATCGCTCGCTCTAAACAGGCGCTCCCGCCAAAGAAACCAACACACCACCGCCACCATGCCTGAGGACGCTCCTTACGACCCCTACATCCCCAACGGCCAGCAGGGCGGCGCCCGCGGCGGCGCCGGTGCCGGTGCCGGAGCTGGAGCTGGTGCTGGAGGCAATGCTAGGACGCAGGCGCTCCAAAGCGTAAGTCATTGAGATGAGCACCAAACAGCAGCGCAGCAGCGCCGACGTCAAACCGCCCGACGCAATCTTGGTTTTGGCCATCGTTCGGAAGTCCGCGGTCGACCCCGACAAGAATTCTGCGAGCGGGAGCGCCAGCTTCCTAACAGACTTGTCGCATCATCCTCGAGCGCAGTGCTGTCGGCCGTGTGCTTGTCTAAAAAGACGAATTGGCGCTGGACCAGCGATGGGCAAGGGCGGAGAACGGGGCCGGTCAGGGAGCAAACCGTGGCTAACCATTGCGTCCCTGTCACCAATAGCAAATCGATGACACCGTCGGCGTGATGAGAGACAATATCAACTCGGTCGCCCAGCGTGGCGAGCGCCTCGACGTCCTGCAAGACAAGACGGACAATCTCGCCCAGTCCGCCCAGGGCTTCCGCCGTGGCGCCAACAGGGTCCGCAAGCAGATGTGGTGGAAGGTAAGCTTTTCTCTGATTCAACACAAACCCAGCCTGCCATCCCGTCTTGAAATCGCTAACCCTGTCTCCTTTTGCGCAAACTAGGACATGAAGATGCGCGTCTGCATCATCGTCGGCATCATCATTCTGCTTCTGATCATCATCCTCCCCATTGCGCTGCACTTCAAGAGCGGCTAAAGCCCCCGGTCCCACCCAGTATGCAAACGAGCCACAGATGAGAAGACAAGATTTTGACGCATTTGTATGTACGAACGGACACTGGAATGGCGCGGCGTTTTTTCTTCTTTCCCTTTCCCTCCCAACGACTTTCTTGTCTTACGTCGGCTTTTTTTGCTTCTTTTTTTTTTGCGGGCTTGTTTTCCAGCGCCCCGAATATCCTGCCTCCCACGTCGGGTAATGAATGGGTTTTTACGACGCAGCAACGAGAGCGGACGATGATGGGTTCCGTGTGGGCGTGTTTGTTTTCCCGTGCAACACCATCCTCCGCACTCCCTCGGCAGGGACGCCCTCGCGGGCTTTCGAGGGGGCAATACCCAAGCTCTTGGACGAGAACATTTGGAAAGAATTGATAGCATCATTTTTTTTTATTTTTTTTGGATTCTGGGTTCTCGGCCGACGGGTCCCGGCCCGGCTCGTGTCCCCCATCGGCTATCCTGGGAGGGAACACAAAGCTGATTGAACGCGACTTGAACTGCCAATTACAGCCCCTTCATATCTCCATTGTATACCTGTGACATTTGATGAAGGGACCGGCCGAGCATCCACGTCGCCAACCAAGATTATTTCGTAGTACGGAATGCCGCAGTCGGTACGGCGCACGTCGTCGCATGGACAAGGAAACCGGCGGATGCAGGAAACAAAGAGAGACACATGGAAGTGTGATGGCATACACCGAGCATGACGAGGCCGAGATGAATGTAATGCTAGATAGCTAAGCTCACGACGAGGAAGACAGCTGAGCCAGCATCTTCTATGCTCAAAGAACCCAGCCCCTAACTTCGGAACCCCCGGGCACATTGGAAATGTGGAATCCCAAAAGCCGGACGAGTGCAAGGAACACGATCCGTGGCTCCCGAGAAAGAGGTTTTGGTTAATGTGATGTTTTGATTCGCATTTGATCTTGAAGGGAGCATCCTTTCGTCGTCATCTGCGCTGCGTCACCGCCGAGAGGCATTTTGCCACCAAAAGGTCATCCCAAAGATACTGCGTAATCAGAAGTATGATGAGCCTCGCTATTTTACAAACATGCCGATATGACATTCGTCCCCCAAGAGGGAAAGCAACCAATGGGCGTGCATCGAAACCAGACACCAGGAACTAATCAATGAAGAAGCCAGGAACGCGGCGGGCAGGCAACGCAGGAGCACAAGAATATACTTATATACCAAAACCTCCCCAGGCCTATCCCAGAAAAAGGGTAAAATAAGAATATTGAACAACAAAAGCGACGCCCTCCGTGATTTTTGTGGTGTTTTTGAACACCTTGACTCCCCGGTATTCTGCCTGCGCCGGAATGGATCTACTGCCGTCTTCTAATAGAATGATGGGAACTGCGTAGACGCGTACGTCGAGGTACTCTAGGCCGTGTCGAGTAAAAAATCTTCATACGGGTTCATACGTTCATCACATGACAGGGATACCGTCGTACTCGGCATACCCAAGCGACAAGTTCATGTTTTCTGTCATGATCATGGGTGGTCAGCTCAACAGTTGCGTTTTTATTGCTAGCGGTGGGATCATAGGGGTAGACTCACGTAGGCATTGGGTCGCCGCCCCCTTAAGCAGGTTGTCGATGGTGGCGCACACGACAACGCGCCGACCAGACGAGTGCACCTGGAAGCCGCCAATCTCGACGCCGTGCTTGTTGGCAATGTCCTTGACAAAAGGTGCCTCGCCGATGATCTTGACCAGTCGCTCGCCCGCGTACCGGTCCTGGTAGATGTGCCTGATGTCGCGCGAGTTCATCTCGTGGCGCAGCGGGATGCCGATGGTGAGCTGGATGCCCGAGAACCAGGAAGCCACATGCGGCACAAAGGCCACCTCGGTGCCCAGCCGCCTGCTGATCTCACGCTCGTGCATGTGGTCCGTTAGGCTGTACGGCAGCATGTTGCCCTCTAGGAACGTCGTGTCGTTCTTGCGCGACGGCTTGGTGCCCGCCCCCGAGTAGCCCGACACGCCCGAGATCCACGCCTGACCGCCCAGGTGCTTCAGAAGCGGCGAGATGGCGAGCTGCGCGCCGGTAGCGTAGCAGCCGGGGTTGGAGATCTGCTTCGCGTTCCGGATGGCCTCGCGCGACGTCAGCTCGGGCAGGCCATACGTCCACCTGTCATCAAATCGGTAGTCGGCCGACAGGTCTACAATTACGCTAGCGCTTGCCGTCTCCTGGCGGCCCTTGTAGATGGCCTCCACGTAAGGCTGGCACACGCCGTTGGGCAGCGCCATCACCCAGCAGTCCACCTCGCCCCGCTTCTCCATCTCTGTCATGTCCTCGGGGCTGAGGTTCTCGTACGTGATGTCGCTCTTGGTGTAGCCCTGGAGCTTCTGCCCGGCGAGCTCCCTAGAGCTGACGTGCGACAGCTCCATGTGGGGGTGCGAGTTGAGGAGCGTAATGAGCGCCTGTCCGGTGTAGCCTCGCGCGCCGATCAGAGCAACCTTGGCCGTCGCGCTGTTTGAAGCGTTCTTCTTGCCAAGCGGAGGGTTGGGGTTTGTAGTGGTGGCGTATCCGCGGCCAGTGGGGTAGCCCATGGGCATCCGAGCCTCGCTGGCTGCCGCCGTTGAGTACGCCCTTCCCAGTCCCCTGTTCATCTGGCTCAAGCGCGATGCCGTGATAACCGGCCGGCGCGCCAACGTGTGATAGCCCCTGGCCTGCTTGGCGACCGGGCTCTTGCTTGCGCCCGACGTGGCCAGCTTTTCAGCAGCTCCCGGCTGCATGTAGCTGTTGTAAAGAATCGCGGCCCCGTTGGTGTCGAAGTCCCGCATGACATTGGTGCTCTCGGTAACGTCAAGGCCGGACCAGAAGAGCACTGTGCCGTTTTTGGACATGCTGCCGTCTGCCTTGTCGAAAAACCACGACAGGTTCTCGTCGTCCTCGCTGACGGTCCACACGAGCTTGGGGAAGTCCTTCTTGATAGCAGCCATGATGTTGTCGGCCACGTTGGTGAAGAAGCCCGAGGCGGTCATTGTAAGCGTCACGAGCTTGGCAGGGCCTCCCTGCTCAGTTGCAGGCAGGGTGACTGCCAGGACGCTCGTGAGGTCGTCGTAGTAGGCCTTGAAGGAGTTCTCCTTCATGAACTCGATGTAAGTGTCGACCGACTCTGCGGCATCAGGACCTTCGCGGTCCCTCCCGAGGACCTCCTTGAGCTTCGCGAGATCGCTGAAATCGGAAAGGGAGGTAGCCGTGGCAAGCTTACTGCCGCGGCGGATCAGGGTCCCGGCGCCGGAGTCGGTGAAGAGCTCCTTCTGGAGGTCCTGTGGGTGGATGATGGCAACGCTTGATGTGCGCGGCAGAGTGTCGAGCAGCTCCTTGATCTCCTTGATCTTAAGACGAGTGCCGTACTTGCACCACTCCTGCGACATGTACCAGTCGAACTCTTCGTCTAGGTTGATGGCCGAGATCTTGTCCTTCTCGCCGTTGAAGAGACCGCCCTTCTCGGAGAGATAGACGACCTTCAGGGGCTCGAGAGCTCTGGCCAGCTCGGCGGCTGCGACATCGGCGTTGACGTTGAGCAGCTGCCCCTCAGGGGTCCAGGCCAGCGAGGTCAAGACGGGCAGACATCGGCGGTTAATAGCACCCTCGATGATGTCGGTGTTGACTTTTGTGATCTTGCCAACGAAGCCCCACTTCTCCTTGTCCAGGTAGTCGGCGTAGAAGACACCGGCGGTAGCAGGGCGAACATTAACGCCAAACTCCTCCAGCCTCTTGGTGAAATTGAGGTTCTCCTCGAGGAAGAGCTGACGAGCTATAGCCAGGGTCTTGGCGTCGGTAACGCGGATGCCCTCCTCGAACTGGGGCTCGACGCCAGCATCCTCCAGGAGCTTGTTGAGCTGAGGCCCGGCACCGTGGACGATGACGGGGTAGAGGCCGACCTGGTAGAGGAAGGCTAGGGCCTTGCAGAGCTCGTCGAGGTAGTCGGTGAGGATCGCGCCGCCGACCTTGATGACGGCGAACTTCTGGGACTCGACCGAGGTGAAGAGCGACAGGTACTGCTGGACTTCGCGCTTGGAGGCGACGCTGCTGATAGCCTGGACGACTATTCCCCTGGTGCTGAGGTCCGTGGTCAGGGCGGGGGCCGAGGCCGATATGGAGCGGCGGGCGGCGAGGGCTGCCGTCAGTCGGGGCAGGGCTCGCGAGCACGATGGCAGAGACCGCTTGGGGAGGTGTCCGATTCGCACGCATTGGCGCACGCCGGCGCGGAGGGCACCTGCGGGGAGCATTTTGCACGGGGGGTCCTCGGTCGCTGAGGGGGAGGGCGGTCGGGGAGAGGCAATCGGCGGCCGCAGACGAGGACTCGGGGTCGTTCAGCTGCCAATTGAAAGCAATACAAGCACTGCAAGCACCGCGCACTGCGAGGACGGACGGGAGAGAGGAGATGCAATTCCCAAAAGCCGCGCTTCGGGCTCGACCTAGCAGGATGGAGCTCGGTCCACGCAACGGCAGGGGCGGGCGAGGGAGGGGCACCGCACCTGCGGTACCATCAAGTATTTGTGCCGGGCGCAAGGAGAAGCGGCGCAAGGGCGAGGAGGCGGAGGTGGAGGAGATATACTCCCGGGTACGCTCTGCGCAGGCTCGCTGTTTGGGATGCCTGGGCTTGGACTTGGAGGGGACGAAAAAATTTAATGTGGAATTCGTGACTCCATGAGCAACCAGCACCGAAACCGGCAACTGGTCCTCCTGCGTTAGCCTTTGCGTACCTCCCCTGACACTGTCCTGAACCATCAAATGGTGGGTCGAATACCCCCGCCAAAACAGGCTAAAAAGACAGGCCGCTTTGAAGCTGGAAGCACGTCGGTTATGACTGCCATTGCATTAGTGAGGCTGTCGCGGTTTGGAACGCAGTACATTTTGGCCGTGTAAAAACCGCCTGAAAATACTTCCAATCAAAACAACCAATCCCCCAGCCATGGTCAATGACGGTTCAGTCCATGCTGCCGAATGGCTAAGCGGACCATGGTGACGTCGCCTGCAACTGAGCATCAGCTTCCCCACCGTACCAGGATTGAGTACGGAGATCGGAGGCGAAAGAAATCGCCACCCTCGAGGTAGCACCCCATGTTCAGCCCCCTACCAAAATAAGGCCTAGCCTACAATCCTTTTTTTCAAAATCAATCACAGACCTGGCCGTGCACCAATTCGAACCAGCCCGCACGCGTTTCAATCGATTGGTTAGTGCATACCCTGTCCCCTGCCCTCGCTTCACGAGTGACCTCCCCACTGTAGATTATTTAAGCCTCACACCTCCGTACAGGTCCCAGGGATCACAAACCCTAGTGCGGTGGATGCAAGATACATTTTCTTCCTTGGAAACCCAAGCCAAACTGATGTACCACCAGGATCCACCATACTAAGGGTTGTGATCCCTGGGACCTGTGCTGAGCAATGTTTGACGCCAAGCAGCCACTCGGCTCGAGTCAGCGGTTCAGAGCTACGCCACCAGACCGGCTCCTCGAGGAGGCCTGATATTGTCGCGGTGAAAGGTACAGGCTGACCACTTAGTCGAGAGGGTGTGAGGGTGTCGTCGAAAAGACGGGGCGCGGGGACATATCAATGTGATGCGGAGCCAAGGTGTGTGGAAAGAAACCGGGGACGGGAGGAAGGGAAAGTGTGAGATATAATTCAAGCCAGGGAGCTGGCGACAGGGCCAGCGCGACAGGGCCAACGCGACAGACATGAGGTGATTTACTAGTAATGGCGGCGCCTCGGTTCGGACAAAGCAACATCAACCGTCTCCGCGGATGCAGTGAGCTGTTACTGAGCGAGCGTGGCAACTACTGCGCATGGAAACTGAGGCCGAGGAGTTGGGCAGCCCATCATGAGTCCACACCAGCCAGTTGAGCGATTTTACCGGATGACTCGGGGCGTGGGAGAAACGGCTAGCATAATAGGCCGTCGAGGTGATGGTTGCCGGTAGCGGAGATAAGTCCACCATGCGCCCCAGGCGTCACAGGCTTTCCATGCACCCCAACCGGCTTCTGCTGGGGCTCACGGCGTCGCTCGGCGTGGCGAGCGAAGTCAACGAGACGGCGGCGGTTGAGAAGAGGTATTTTAGCCGTCACTTTCTAGTTTTGTCTTTTATCCTCTGCTCAAGTTAAGAAAGTAGGAAGACGACAAACGATATTTGGCACTAGCTCCACGTTAGCTATCAAACCGTTGGCCTTGAGCCAGGTGCCGGTTGGGGGTTGTTTGTTGAGGCGATCGCACGGAGGCTTGCCGCGGCTGGAGCCCCCTAGGAGGTCCCTGGATGGGCGACGTGGGGAAATCGTCATCCGTGGTTGCCGATTACCTCAGAGCCTGCTTCTCCAAATTGATTTTGACCCCGCAGTATATAAGTCCACGAAGCAGCCCACCCACCCGCCAGCGGTGGAAACACCTGGCATATCCCACCGCCATCGCCATCGACTTCCGCCCGCCTCACCTGCAACCCCGTAACAGAAACCAAATCCACAATGCCTAGCGCTCTGGAGCAGCTCAAGGCCTCTGGCACCGTTGTCGTCAGCGACTCGGGCGACTTTGCCACCATTGGCAAATACAAGCCCCAGGATGCCACCACCAACCCGTCGCTCATCCTGGCCGCGTCCAAGAAGGCCGAGTACGCGAAGCTGATCGACCAGGCTGTCGACTACGCCAAGAAACACGGCGGCTCCGTCGATGAGCAGGTCGACGCCGCCCTGGACCGCCTTCTCGTCGAGTTCGGCAAGGAGATTCTCAAGATCATCCCCGGCAAGGTCTCCACCGAGGTCGACGCCCGCTTCTCCTTCGACACCAAGGCCTCGGTCAACAAGGCCCTGCACATCATCGAGGTGAGAACACATTCCATGTCCTCCTACTCACCATCTCGCATCCCCAAGTTTACTGCTGACACTGGACATTCCTCCACCCCATAGCTCTACGAGAAGGAGGGCATCTCCAAGGATCGCGTCCTGATCAAGATCGCGTCCACCTGGGAGGGCATCAAGGCTGCCGAGATCCTGCAGCACGACCACGGCATCAACACCAACCTGACACTCATGTTCTCGCTCGTCCAGGCCATCGCCGCCGCCGAGGCCGGTGCCTTCCTCATCAGCCCCTTCGTCGGCCGCATCCTTGACTGGTTCAAGGCCGCGAACAAGAAGGAGTACGCCAAGGAGGAGGACCCCGGTGTTGCCTCGGTTAAGTCCATCTTCAACTACTACAAGAAGTACGGCTACAAGACCATCGTCATGGGTGCCTCGTTCCGCAACACGGGCGAGATCACCGAGCTCGCTGGTTGCGACTACCTCACCATCGCGCCCAACCTGCTGGAGGAGCTCCTCAACTCGGAGGAGGCCGTCCCCAAGAAGCTGGATGCCGACGCTGCCACCTCTCTCGACATCAAGGAGAAGTCGTACATCTCGGATGAGGCCCTGTTCCGGTTCGACTTCAACGAAGACCAGATGGCCGTCGAGAAGCTGCGTGAGGGCATCAGCAAGTTCGCTGCCGACGCCGTCACTCTCAAGGACATTCTGAAGAAGAAGATCAGTGCTTAGATATCTTTTTCACGATAATTAGTCGGGTGGGAGAGCCTGGGGCTTAAAAATGGGTTGCGAGTAGAACACTGTATTTGCAGCATTTTCCGTCTTTCGGCCTTCGTATGAGAAACGAATAGAAAATCAAGTAAAAAATCGGAAAAAATAGTAAGGATACATTCAGGCCCTCTGTGTAGTGCTTGTTGTTAATCATTTTCACTGACAGGAGATCTTTGCAGGTAGGCAAATATTTGGTAACGACGGCGGCGATTCCATCCAGCAGACCCCTCAACGCCAACACTTTGTGATGCCTCTGCATTTCCGGAGTTGGGAATAGTATCAAAGACACCGCTGTTGCTGTTTGACTAGATTGTTACAAGACATTATTGCTGTGCTCATTTGTGATTTGTTCTACAAATTTGTTGATCGCGCTTCCGTTTCCGTCGTTCCGAACACACCCCGCATGGCCAGGCTTGCCCGTCGTACCCCAAAGTACTCGGGGGTTGTTAGTCAAATCAACCAGACTTGACTGTAATTGGTCGCCAACCCCTGTTCGTGGGAGCCGTCCCAGAAACAAGCCCGGTCCGGGACGGTGTGCATGTTCATCTGGGTAAATTATCGGGTATTTGCCGTCACCGAGCAGAAATGTCGACGGGTTTGCTCTGACATTGGCTCGAATCGGAGAGTGAAGGAAGTGGTAGTCATGCAACGAAGAAATCGGTTGTGATGCGCGGGATGAGAAGAATGAACTTGAGGCGATGAAAGGAGTGGACATGGTATTTCCAGCCTGTCGCTTGCTCTCCGGGAGCAGAATTTGCCACTCTCCATGTACTCAGTAATAGTACTCAGGCCGCTCCACGTATTTCACCCTCCACCATGTGCTTGTATACACCCTGCACGTCCAGCCCGGCCCATCCCACACCTCCTCGCGCCCGCCTAGAGAGACGGCAGTCCCGTTCTGGCACGGACAGGACTTGGACCGGACGGGATAGGTGCCAAGCGGGTGGTGCGCCCCGAGGACGACGGCCTCAGCTGGGCAAACACACCCCAAGCCGCGCTCATTTCTTCCCGTTCCAATCCCCTATCTGGGCTCTGATGGCATGGTAGCAATGCAGCCACTCATCCTTGATATTTAAAGTGCATGCCATGCGGCTAGGCCGCCTGGATATATATTATCTGCCCCTACCATGTCTACCTCTGCCCCCATCTCCCCCGCCTTCTCTTACGGCACCCTGTACAACGCTGGCTCTTCCGCTGCCCCGATCTATCTGCGCTTGTGACCAGGGGATGTCCAAGGGGACGATGTTCTGAGCAAGCACCTGGCCCACTCCCTCAACGACCACCCACGACCTCGACGGGACCTGCCTAGCCTCACCTCGCCTCACGCGTCCGCACACGGCCGGCCTGGGTGGCACAGGAGAGAACATGGAGTTCGGCTTCCGTGGACGACACCACGAGCCGCCGGGCGGGGCCACGCCCGGGGCGGCCTCGCCGGAGGGCCCGCCCGAGAGCGAGACCACAGGCAGCAGCAGCGGCAGCAGCAGCAGTAGCAGCAGTAACGAGACGCTCGCAGTCCTGCGGCGGTTCGAGAAGACGCACCGCCTGGACCCGAACCTGCCGGCCGACGAGCTGCGGGAGGTCGACGCCGTGCTGGCGAGCGGCAACGCCGAGAAGGGCGTCGAGATCGAGCAGGTGCTCGTCGAGGACAACTCGCCATATCAGGAGGTAAGCGCGGGTGCTCCTACTGCGGAGGGGAAGAAGGGTAGCGAACACTGAAGGGTCATGATCTTCCGCTGAAGCCTCAAGGGTGCCCTTTGCTCCGACTAGGTTCGAGCGGCTGTGCGGAATCACGACATCGACGTGCCGGCAAACACAATCCGGGCCTGGACCATAGGGCTGCTCCTCTGCACCCTGGGCTCCGGGGTCAACGTGGTCTTCTCCCTGCGGTCGCCGAGCGTCACCATCAACACGTACCTGATCCAGCTGGTGGCCTACCCCATCGGGCTGCTCTGGGATCTGGTGTTCCCGGACCATCAGTTCGACGTGCTGGGCCTGAAGTTCAACCTCAAGCCGGGGAGGTTCAACTTCAAGGAGCACGCTGTAATAACAGTAATGTTTAATGTAAGACGGCCGGCTGGGTAGACCCCTTGAACCTTTCTTTTTCATGTTGCCAAGGAGTACGGTATGGCTGACGTCCCGATGTCGAACTGCACACAGGCCGCGTACGGGGGCGGCACGCTCTACGCGACCGACGTCATCCTGGCCCAGCAGCACTTCTTCGGGCAGGCGCTCGACATGGTGTGGCAGGTGCTGTTCGCCGCCACGACGGCGTGCCTCGGCCTCGGGCTCGCCGGCCTCGCGCGCCGGTTCCTCGTGTGGCCGGCGGCCGCCATCTGGCCCTCGGCGCTCGTGGGCGCCTCGCTCATCGGCAGCCTGCACGACCGCTCGGCCTCGGACCCGGCCGAGACGGACGGCTGGGCCGCGGGGCGGCACCGCTGGCTCCTGGCAGTCGCGGCGGCGGCCTTCCTCTGGCACTGGCTCCCCGGCTGGGTCTTCCAGGGCCTGACGTGGTTCTGTTGGATCACGTGGGTCTGGCCCGAGAGCGTCGTCGTCAACAAGCTCTTTGGCGGCTTCAGCGGCTACGGCCTGATGCCCGTGACGCTCGACTGGTCCGTCGTCGCGGGCTACCTGGGGTCGCCGCTGGTCCCGCCCTTCCACGCCGTGGCCAACACGGCGGCCGGCGTGCTCGTCTTCTTTGTTGTCACCTCGATGGGGCTGCACTTCTCAGGCCACTGGTACGCCGACTACATGCCGGTGCAGAGCTCCGACGCCTACGACAACACGGGCCGGTCGTACGAGGTCTCGTTCGTACTGGACAAAAACCTGCAGTTCGACGAGGCCGAGTACCACACCTACTCGCCACTCTACTTCTCGACCCAGACGGCGCTCTCGTACGGGCTCGCGTTCGCGGCCACGGCAGCCGTGGTCGTGCACGTCGCGCTCTACCACGGGGGCGACCTTTGGGCCCGCCTCAAAGACGGGGCCCGGCGCGAGGACGACGACGTGCACATGCGGCTGAACAGAAAGTTCCGCGAGGCCCACGACTGGTGGTACGCGGCGCTGCTCGTCATCACGGCCGGCGCCTCCTTCGCCGTCGTCTGCGCCTGGCCTACGAGCCTGCCGTGGTGGGGCTTCGTCGTCTGCGTGGCCGTGCCGCTGATATGGACGGTACCCATCGGCGTCGTGCAGGCCGCCACCGGCATCCAGCTAGGGCTGAGCGTCTTCACACAATACCTGGCCGGCTACGTGCTGCCGGGCCGCCCCGCGGCCGTGATGCTGTTCAAGAGCTACAGCCACCTGTGCGTTTCGCAGGCCTTGTCGTTCGCGCATGGGCTCAAGCTGGGCCACTACATGAAGGTGCCGCCGCGCGTGCTCTTCTGGTCGCAGCTGGTGGCGGCCGCCTGGTCGGCCGTGGTGCAGGTGCTGGTCATGACGTGGGCGCTGGGGGCCATCGACGGCGCGTGCGAGGAGACGCCCCGGAACCGCTACGTCTGCCCCGGCGCGCGCTCGGCCTTTACGGCCTCGGTCGTCTGGGGCGCCATCGGCCCGCGTCGCCTGTTCGGCCCGGGCGCCCTGTACGCGTCGCTGCAGTGGTTCTGGCTCCTCGGCGCCGCGGCCCCCTTCGCCACCTGGCTGCTCGCCCGCCGCTTCCCGCGCTCGCTGTGGCGGTACGTGAGCATGCCAGTGTTCTTTGGCGGCTCCGGCTTCATCCCGCCCGCGACGGTGTATGTGTATCTGTAAGTCTGGGCTGCTGCCTTGTCACACTCTTGTCTGCTGCTCCAAGCTACCTACCTATTTATCATATGTTGCTCTTTACTCACCACCGACAAAAACACAGCTGCTGGGCGCTCGTGGGCACAATCTTCAACTACTTCATCAAGCGGCGCTTCCCGGGCTGGTGGGCGCGCTACAACTACGTGACGTCGGCGGCGCTCGACTGCGGCCTGGCCGTGGCCGCCGTCGTCATCTTCTTCGCCCTGCACATGACCCAGGCCGACGTCATGGTGTGGTTCGGCAACGCCGAGGCGCTCGGCACCCTGGACATGACGTCCAGGGCCATCAAGTCGAGCCTCCCCCGCGGCGGCATCTTCGGGCCCGGGTCGTGGTCGTAGCCTCCGTCTCGCCCCGGTCCGCGAGGGCCGCTGTGGTGGTGCGGGCGTCTTCGGGCCGGTCTGCGTGTGGGCTGCTTTTGGTCTTTTGTTCTCTTTCTGTATAATTAGGTGGTGGCCCAGGGTGCGGCTAGAGTCTCTGGATTTGTCAGGCTGTCGGCAGGTGGGTGACTGGCAATGCATGCGGTTGGTCATTCGAACCCCACCATCACGACATTTGAGAAGCGTCATATCCACTCCTTTTTCTCCTTCTTCTTGTGGACGGTGAGCGAAGCTGGGTGACTGTGGGATAGGAACCTCGGCATTAGAGACGGCTGCCCGGATGTAGGGAGGAATTGTATCTCACTATTGTCAAATAAAAGTCTGCACTTCACCCAAGGACAACTGGGACCGACATTAGCCAACGTATCGTACCCCTTAAGCAGGGCGGGCTTTCATCTACCGTGTAGAGATTACCCCTGTGTCTATCTCGAGCTATGCTGGGGCTGCGATCTGGGCACAGAATCAAGGAGCAGTCGATCGAAGAAAAGTCCGGGCGGCCACGTCCGAACCTCCGATCTTGCCGCTCCCCGGCACATCGAGGGATCACCGCTGGAACCCCCACCCCCTGCCAGGGAGATCTCTGCTGGGCTGCCCGTTCGCCCGCAGAGCTGCAGGGTCTACGCCCAGGTTTGTGGATACTGCAGGGCTGCTAAAAGCCTAAAGGACAGGCCCAGAAGTCCCGAAGCGAGCAAGAAAAAAAAAAGGCGCATCAGGCAATGGAAATGATGCGATAATGCTTTGAGGCAAAATCTCACGCCCATTGGAGTCTGTCACGCCGACGGTACCTTTGAGAAACATACAATATGGGTTCCTCGCTTGAGTAGGTAGATACCTATATCAATGAGCCCTATTTCCGGTTCCTCCTCGGAGAATTTTTCACCCGGAAATGAGTGACACCATCATGCCACATGCCAACATTGACTGTCCCTGTCGTCCCATCATCCCCGCTGTTAGCCGACGAAAAATAAGGGTGATAAAGGCGCTGTCGACGTAAAGGTTTTCCTAGCCTTGATACACCCATCATAGAAATCCGTCCGCGACACTAGGGCCGAGGTCCCCGCCCCCGGTGGGATTTGGAGGGAGAAAACCCAAGGGATCCAGATCTCTCTACCTAAGGGTAACACCTTGCCTAGCGATAACCCCCGTATCGAAAGGAAGCCGCGTTGCTCTGGAGAGCCTCGCCCTTTGCGCAGCGATGGCCAACCCTCAGGGCCTGGAGGATGCGCTGAGCACGCTAGATTCGCGGGTGGCGGGCGTCATCAGGGACGCGAACGCGGCCGACGGCGTGCCGTTCAGGGCGCGGGCAGGCCACCTGCACCACACGTGGGCCAAGACGTTCGCGTCGCTGCCGGAGCTGTATATCCAGCCCGAGTCGCAGGCCGAGATCGAGAAGGTGGTGTCGCTGGCCCGGCGGCTGCGGCGGCGCGTCTCGCTCGTGGGGTGCGGCCACTCGCCCTCGGACCTGACGTGCACGTCCGGGTGGCTGGTCAACCTGGACCGGCACGCGCGGGTGCTGTCGCTGGACCGCGCCGCGGGCGTCGTCGTCATGCAGAGCGGCATCCGCCTCTTTGCCCTGGCCGAGGAGCTGGCCCGGGCCGGCCTGGCCATGCCCAACCTGGGCAGCATCAACGACCAGTCCGTCGCGGGCGTCATCTCGACGGGCACGCACGGCAGCAGCCTGCGCCACGGCCTCATCTCAGACGACGTCCTCGCGCTCAAGATCACCCTGGCCGACGGCAAGACCCGCTCGTGCTCGCCCGTCGAGGACCCGGACCTGTTCCGCGCCGCCCTGCTCTCGCTCGGCGCCCTGGGCGTCATCACCGAGGTCACCTTCCGCGCCGTGCCCGCCTTCAGCCTCGCCTGGACCCAGACCATCGACTCGGACGCCGCCATGCTGCGCGCCTGGGACACGACCCTCTGGACGCAGGCCCACTTTGTGCGCGTCTGGTGGTTCCCCCACACCCGCCGCGCCGTGGTCTGGAGCGCCTCGGAGCCCGAGGGCAAGGGCGAGGGCGAAGGGGCGGGCGGCCAGCAGGTCGTCCTGCCGGTGAGCTGGCTGAGCAGCCGCGTGGGCTACCACGTGTACCACAACCTGCTGTGGCTGGCGCAGTATGTGCCGCGGGTGCTGCCGTGGGTCGAGCGCTTCGTCTTCGGAATGCAGTTCGGCTTCCGCGACGGCACCACCACCAGGGGCCTGCAGCCCAGCCGCGAGGCGCTGCTCCTCGACTGCCTGTACTCGCAGTACGTCAACGAGTGGGCGCTGCCGCTCTCTCGCGGGCCCGAGGCCCTGGCGCGCCTGGGCGCCTGGCTCAACCGGCTGCGGCCCGGCGACCAAGGGTACGTGGAGCACAGGATCCCCTTCCCCACCGACGGCCTGTACGTGCACGCCCCCGTCGAGGTTCGCGTGTCGGATGCGAGGAACGAGTCCGTCCGGTCCGGGCGCGGCTGCCGCCCCTGGCTGGACCCCACCATGCCCGACGGGCCGACGCTGTACCTCAACGCGACCCTCTACCGCCCGTACCTGCAGGATCCCCCCTCGCTGGCGCGGTACTACGAGGCGTTCGAGTGGCTGATGCGTGACCTGGGCGGGCGCCCGCACTGGGCCAAGAACTTCCGCTTCGCCGACATGGAGAGCTTATACGGTGACCATCTGCGCCGGTGGCGGGAGGTGCGAGACCGTGCTGACCCTGACGGCATGTTCGTCGGTGCCTGGCATCGCCGCTTCGTTCTTGGCCAAGGGGAGCCGCTGGCGCTGGAGGAGGTTGAGGTAGAGAGGCGCGCTGTCGACAGCAATGGTGTAAGAGTCTTAGGGACAGTCGGGGAGAAGAGGTGATATTGGAGCTCTGGCTATGAGGTACACATCCTTTCAGCGTCACACATATCCATATGATACCAAAAGTGGGGGAGAAGGGCCGGCACAGGGCAAGGTACCGACTTGTGGTTCAAGTTCTGGACAGCTACGTACCAGATATCAGAGCCACACTCGAAACGGCAGCAAGTATAGACATATCAAGACTTGGAAGACGGCTTAAATACTTGCAAGTGTGCTGTATTTCGAGTCTGAGCAAGTCTAGCGGCAGGCGCCAGCCCGTTCTGCCTACATCCTAACTCTGACTGTAGTATATGGCCCTGCTGCCGGGGTTTGATATTGCACACAAGCCTCGCCCGGTGGGGCCTTCCTTGCTCTCCCCTCGCCCTAGTCTGATAGCAGGGTGCGGCTCTGCAGTTGCCTACGCACAGAAAGTTCTTTTAGACTCTTTGCCGCCCGAGCTTGGGTATAAAACCCTCACCGCACCAAGAACTGCCCGCTTCCCTCTTTGTTTTTCTGCCACGGCAGGTGCAACCTAGGTGAACACAACCGCAGCCCAGCAGATTCTCTTCGTGACTGCCTTTGCAGCTACCCAAAGCTTAGCACTGTCATCAAAGACTCCCCTTCCAATTTTCATTCCCTCCGCGGCCTTCTCAGAATCTTCCCCGTTCCATACCCCGCGGGCGCCGCGTCTGTGTGTGCCATCGCGGGCGGGAAATCTGCGTCGCCCAGAGGACCACCCCTCCTCTACGCTTGAAAATACCGGGCACTAGCACTCCTTTGCTTCCACCTTCCTTCTAGAATCTCCTCACCCTCTCCACCCGTCCTTCATCCCACCACTACCTATCTACCTGCCCGCTGGGATCCTACACCTCCTAGGCAAGACACTGCCTACCTACCCAACCACCCACCCAACGATCGTGTTCCCTAGACATCACGCTTCCGTGACACGAGCTCGTTGCAAGATGTCGTCCAACGAAGGCACCTTCATCTCTGGCCACCAGGCCATCTTGGGCAAGCTCAAGTTCGTGATCCATGCTCCTCCCGACATCGTCACGCGTCCGCACATCGTCGGCCTCTGCGCCGTCCCCACGGCGCTGGCAGGCCCGGCCGATCTTGGCTACCACGTCGCGGACTTCCTCGCCTGGAAGATGACCTTCAATCGAGAGGGCAACAAGGACGACCAGGCGTGGTTCTCGCTCGTCGACATCGAGCACCTAATGAGCTTGGAAAAGGGAAAATACTCAAAGGTCATCAACGGTCAACGCAAGGGTCTCGAGGAGGCGCTTCCCTTCATCCGCGTCGACGGCACCATCCCAGGTCTCTTCGGCGCCTTCGTGACCGAGCTCGACAAGCAGGCCAAGCTCGCTCAGGAGAAGGGCGACTGCCTGATCGTCATTATCTGCGGCGAGGTCAGCCCCGAACTGGATATCTGCCTCGATGTCTTCGATAACACGAAATATCTGGGAAAGGAATCCTGGCTGGACGGTGTGCTGAAGAACTACAACATCCCCATCACTGTTATCACTCCCGCCATCTTCACGACGGGGTGGGAGATTCGGCCCTTCGCTGGTGGCGCCAAGCAGGCCGCCGGACTGTCTGATGAGGCCCTGGACAACCTCTTGGCGAAGCAGTGTGGAGGCGCTTTTGCGACGTCGGTCCTCAAGTCCTGGACCCAGGAGCAGGAGGCCTGTGGCATGGTCCCAACAACTCAGGGCCCCGGCGGAGAGCTCTACTCGCAGCTCTACACTGGAATCCACGACTGTATGATTCGCAACATGCTGCCGTTCGCCAAGGACCATTCCTTCCACTTCGATGCCTCCCAGGACGAGTGGAGCATGGCTATCGGTAAGCGCAAGGGTCCTCTCAGCCTCGACTACTTCGCCAAGAAGTGGGACCGTGTCGAGAACGCCCCCGAGCCCGGCGTTGTTATCCCGGATAGCGGCTACAAGTTCTTGGCTGGCGCATTTGGTGGCACCCTCCAGTCCCAGCGCCTCCATCTGAAATTCCTCGTCCGGCAAGAGCTCCGGGGCTGTCCTGGCGAGTGGACCCAGACGACGAGCGATCGCTGCTTGGTTGCCTTGACCTCGTTCCTCCAGACAAAGTTTCCTACCGAGGCGCGTGCTCGCGAGATCTTCACTCTCCTCGAGTGGCGATGCTCCATGAACCTTGTCGCCGACACCATCGTCGACTTCTTCGTTCTGCCGCGGCCCCAAGGCAAGACCTGCCGCTACTGGGACTGGAAGGAGCAGCAGAAGCTAGATTCGGATATTACAACCGTGGGAACCTTCCGGATGTCCCTCTTCGGCACCATGATTCCACACTGGCCCAAGATGCCGCTTCCTGTCGGCCAGCAGCGTGACAGCTTCCACGACCAGTTGTACTGGCGGCCTCTCAACTACATTACTTCTGCCATCACCACGAAGTACTATAATCATAACCTCGCAGGTGGACCGTCACAGCGAGAGCTTGGCGAGGCCAGGGCGTTCGCCTTGAAGGGTATCGGATGCTTCATTGATCGCCTTTCCGAGATCCAGCGCTGGACGATCACCAGCAACACGCAGCTGGTCGATGCTTACGACAAGTGGTTGGCCACAGGCTCAGACCCTGTCTCGAAGCCTAACAACACGGCGGCTAAGAAGTTCGCGCCCTCCATCGCCAACCCCCGCCCCATCCAGCATCCACAGCGTCCGGCTGCCGCAGGTATGCCTGTCACTGCCCCTCCGGCCGTGCCCAAGCCACCTGGAACTGTTTCCAGCAACGCGGCCTCTCAGGCTCCTTCCCAGCGGACCCTGAGGCCCGCTCCGACGGCATCTCCGGTTGCCTCTCGGAAGGGATCTCCAGCCACGAGTCCGATCGCGGCTCCGTTTGTCCCAACGCAGAACCAAGTCCCTGCTGTGGCTCTGTCTCCGACTCTCTCCAACGCGCAGCAGAGCACTCGTGCTATGACTGGCAGCCCGAGCGCCACAGTTATCCAGCAGGACATGTCCACCATGGCTGGCAACCCGAATACCACAGATGTGCAACAGAACGCGCCTGCTGCGACTATCATGCCGACTGTAGCTGCCGCTCCGGTCGACGATGAGAAGCCTGCCGTCACATCCGGCGACAATCTTGAGTCTAAGGTGAGTTCTTGAAGCTCACCCAACTTCTACGGATGATCCACGTCAAGCTTGCTAACATATCATACACCAGAGCGGAAATCCAGGCCTCGAAGCCATCGGTGCGGCCCTGGCAGGACTTGATCCCGCCTCACTGCAGTCTCTCATCTCGCTGCTGACCCTGCAGGCTCAGAGCAAGGAGACCAAGGCTTCGACCTCCGAGGCTTCCGGATATAAGCTGGCTCCGGGCCCTTCCCAGAAAGAGAACACGGCTCCTCGTGTCATGGCGCAGTCGCCGCGTCCTGCGTATGTTACCGATTCCGGTTTTTCTGGGCAAGCAATATTCAATCACATGCTAACCGCGCTGTCCGCGCAGTGATCCCCAGCAGCATGGCATTGGCGAGCGCGCTGTGCCCCAGCCTCCTCATGGAACAAACAACCACAGCGGCCTCGGTGGACAGCAAGCCGTCCCTACAACGAAGCCCGTTCGTAGCCAGCCGGCTCCGTTCGTCCCAAAGGCCACTCCTGACGCGGTCGCCGCGCCCAATGGATCCTCTCAGCAAACGACCGAGCAGCGCGCCCCGGTCCCGGCTCAACACAATACACAGGCGACCCCCAATGCCCAGCAGCCGCCTCCTTGGGAGAACCCGGAAACGGAGGCCATGACCCGCCGCCATGAGGCTTTCAAGGCCAAGATGGCCGCGAACTGCGAGTGGTGAGACCAAAGTTTCTGACTTCTGAAGGCTTGTGTTCCGCTTTCACTCCTAAACAGCGTCCTGAGGAATGGCCACACATTCCACGATCCATCAGTCTTAGTATGGGACAACTTGAGATTGCACGTCTTAAAATGACTATATGCGTCCTCGATTGGCCATGGTCAGGCGGACAGTCAGACCGCCGAGACACAGGCTGCGAATTTGGGAGCCCGACGCCCCTGTTCTTATACTCTCGACTGTTTCTCACTTTCTTTGAGTTTCTTTTTGTTTGATACATGTAATCTCACCAACAACAACGACAAAAAGAAGAAAAGAGGAAAAAAGAAGAAAAAAAAGCAGGAAAAGAGGAGGACACGTTTGATAGAAGCGAAGTCATGTTGGTCATTCGGAAAGGATGGGGGATTCTTTGCCCAAATCAGGGCTTCAGGTTTGAACGTAAGAGACTGGAGGTGGTACCGGCCAAATGGGCCAGATTGTCATCTTGAGGAGGCTACGAGGATATGATGGGCTCTTTCGGTGCCCGGTCTCCTCTTTGGAAGACGAACAAGGCCTCGTCCTTAGTAGATAGCAGTCAGCATCCAACTCATGGGCTTCATGTGCGAGAATCTGGCTCTGTAATTCAATGTAACTTGTAGAGTACCTGATTTTTGGTGGTGGAACGAGGCATGGTGATAAAAAGAAAACAGATAGCTCACCTTGCCTGCAAAGCTAGGTAATGGTATTTGCGTCACACGCACCCAAGGGCTCCCCTTGCTGTCGCCGGTTGTTGTTTTGTGATGGCCACCATCCTGGCCTTGTTCCTCGGCATTCGCCATATACTCGTCCATGGTCATGCGAGCGAAGCTGGTATAGCCGTTCCGATTCTGCGTCCCCACGACAGCAACCGTGTCGCCCTCGTACGCGTCCAGCAGGGAACGCGTGAAGGCGCCGTTCCCGTCTGGACCAACGACGGGGCTATGCTCGGGTGAGTTTCTTCGCATCAGCTTTCCGTGGCAAAGAGGGGGAGAGAAGGGCCATCACAATCCAGTTCCGCAGCTCAGAATAGTCGCACGAAGACACACCCTCCTTTTTGACTTACTACACCAGAAGGAGGACCACGTCCTTGCCGCCCGGGGGATCCCGGCTCCGCAGCCACGCGACCCCGTCCTGCTTGACCGTGTCGGGGACCCACATGGTCCTCCAGAGGGACTGCTCGTTGTCGATGGCGACGGTTGGCACGCCGTGGCGGCGGAGCATGAAGGACCCTGATGAGCGCGATATATCCCGACGTGTCAGCTGCGGCGAGGTATAGTAGACTCTGGCCCGAGGTTGCGGTATTGCCTCGTCCTCCTCCTCCTCACGTACAGTAGCCGTTCCCGGACCCGACGTCGGCGACGGTCCTGCCAGCGGCCAGGACGCGCAGGACCTCGAGCGACTCGAACGACGGGGCGGCGCAGCCAAAGTGGTGCATCAGCACGGGTAGGACCGGGTGGGACACGGGGCGCCCCGGGTCGGCCACCGCGGGGCCGCACCAGCCGAGGGTGCGGCACGACCAGGCCCAGAAGAGCAGGTAGGGGTTCGGGTGCGGCGCCGACCCCCTCTTCCGCTTCGGTACGGCGAGCGCCCGCTCGAGCGCCGGGTGCACGAAACGCTTGGCGGCCAGGCGGGCGGCGGCGGCGGCGCGGGCGGAGCCCTTCCTGGCGTTGGCGCCGAAGGACCTGAGCGCCGCAGGGCTGGACTGGGCCGGGTTGAAGATGGAGAGGTAGGCCTCCACGTCTGTCGGGGAGAGCGGCGGGAGCTTGGGGGTGGGTGGGTGGATGTTAGCTAGGTTCAGGGATGGTGGTTTCTCTGGCATTGGCATTGGGTAGGTAGGTGATAGCATCCGGTCTTACAGGCTCCCCGTCGGGGGCTCGGTACCACGGCGGCGACCCCTTCTGGGCGGCCACGTCGACGGCGCGCTGGACCTCGTCGAGCCGGACACTCATCAGGGCGTGGTAGACGTAGCCGTCCCGCTCGGGGATGTCGAACCACGAGCGTATGGCGCCCCGCAGGTCGTTGCGGGCCAGGGCCTCGGCCGCCCCGCGCATCAAGATGCCCTCGGCATCGTCGGTGCGGGCCTCCGGGTCGAACGGGCCCCGGCTGCCGACGCAGTAGACCGCCGGCGCCGCCGATTGGCCCCGCTTGCCAGTGGCCGGGGTGGGCATGGTTTGATGACGTCGGGGGAGAATGGGGTCTGGTTTCCGTTGCAACTATCTAGCGGCGGCTACAAGGATGAAAGACAGAGGAAAATTCAGGGAGTCACTGGTCAAGGTCCCAACTGAAGATTCGTCGAGCCTGAATATTCTTGCGGCCGTGAGTAATCAATCCAGCGTTGTATTGTGTACACTGCCAGGCATCAGAATTGGCAGCGCAGTGGGGCAGCCTGATTATTCACATCGCCGTGGAGCTTCGAGGATCGCACCCAACTCTGTGCCGCACCTTCCTCTTACAGCGACAACCGCCCAGCTCCTTCCCCAAGCTCTGCGCCCGATCGCCATCAAGATTCGCAGACTTGCAGATCAGGCGTTTATATCTGCAGGCTCCTTCTCAACCTCACGATGCCGCACTAGACGCCGGGACAGATGCTCCGGGTCAAGACGCCATCCACTGGTGATCTGTTTATTCGATTCGAAAATGTCTCGGGGCAGGGAGCGATTGCTTCTGCCGTCTCCTTTTGTCCCCAGTGTTATGGAGGCCCAGAACTGCACCGGAAGCATCACATCGCCGGCGCATGCGCACCGCACCAAGCACCTGGGCTAGGCCTCCTGGCTGTGCGCCATGTCCGACCCCCAAAACCAGCCAGCGAATGCGCAGGGCCCTCACGTCTCGGCTCCTGATGCTGCCCTGGGCCGCCGAGAGACTGGCGCCCTGCGCAGTCCGGAGCTCGGCCGTGGCCCAGGTACCCCCAACCGACCTCGACCACCGCTGGCAGCCTTGGACCCCAACCTATCTCCAGCATGCAACTCCCAAGCGTTGACCAAGCCCGCCGTGCAGCCAGGGTCCTTCATGGGCCATCGCCAGCGGCATGGCTCACAATCCCCGGCGGTGTCGCCCAAGGGGGACACATCGCCCCCGCTTATCCTTGGGTCCGAACCCGCAGCTGCGCCTCCAACTTCTTCCAACTCGCCGCAGGCTGCGGCACCCTCGAGCGCCATTCCTAGAGCCCTTGCAGAGGAGCATGACCATGAAGCGTCGCACCAAGCCGAGACAGGGATCATGGCGGACGAAGACGAGGTCGGCGCCCCTATAAGCGTGCACTCGGACGGCGGATACGACTCGGAGGGGGGTTCCGGCTCCGAGTCCATGTCCGGCAGCATCATAGACTTCGTATACGAGAACGGTCGGCGATACCATCGGCTCAGGGAGGGCCAATACAACTTTCCCAACGATAAGGTCGAGCAAGAGCGAGAAATCCTGAAACATGTCATGATCAAACTGCTCTGCGGAAAGCTGTACTACGCCCCCATCGGTGACTCGCCCCGGAATATCCTCGACGTCGGTACTGGCACGGGCATCTGGGCCATCGAGGGTAAGTCAGCCCCCAAGAGACAAGGCGGCGCGGTGCCGAAAACGCTATTGGACAACGAGAAAAGTCGCCGACCAGCTTCCTTCCTCCATTATCCTCGGCATCGACCTGAGTCCAATTCAGCCAGAATACGTGCCTCCGAAGTAAGTGTCCCCCATCCTTGAGTAGATACTTGCATCCCTCGACCTACATGACGGCCCTGAACTGACCTCCTCTCTTCGTCGCAGTGTTCGATTCATGGTTGACGACGCCGAGAGCGAGTGGCTACACCCGCCGAATCACTTTGATTACGTGCATTTCAGACATGCGGTCATGGCCATCAAGAACTGGCATAGGGTTCTAGAGCAAGCTTTCCAGTACGTGACTTCCCTAGCGGGCCATGGTTGCCAGATACGCTTGTCTGACAAATGATGCAGTCACATTCGCCCCGGTGGCTGGATCGAGATTCAGGAGTTCACCCACTATCCATGCTCGTCGAACAACACAATGCTACAAGACAACCCGCTTGCGCAATTTTTTCTACTGTTGGACAGGGGTCTAGGCATGATGGGCATTGATTTCCTCCAGCCACCACGCCAGCTCCCTGATAAAGCCCGCGACTGTGGCTTCGTCAACGTGACTGAGAAGGTGCTCCAGGTGCCCATAAGCACTTGGCCCAGAAACAAGACGCTTAAGACGATTGGCTTGCACTGGCGCTCCAATCTATTCAACGGGCTGCAGGCGATAGCCATGGGCCCACTGACTAGGGGGTGCGGCTGGACAGCAGCGCAGGTTGAGATCTTCCTGGTTTCGGTGCGCAGGGCTATCATGGACAACTCGTGTCAGTTCTACATGCCCTTCCACATCATCTGCGCGCAAAAGCCCGCTATGCCTTCCTGAAGCTTCACGAGGCCGAGGAGGGCTCAGTACGGAGCACCGGAGGGCAACTCGCCTGATTTGAGCTCCTTGGTGGTCTTCACGCTTCCATGTACTGCCAAAAACTGGCGGATGCTTCTTTCTGCGACTAATATACTAGCCGAAGACGGAATGAGATGGAGGGGCCCAGTTGCTACACATACCAGAGCTAGAAACCAAGACTCGCAACATCTCACAGACGTCCACCGAAAGCCCTGTCCAAGTCTTCAACAGCCACTCCGTTGGATATTTGAAACTTTGGTGGCCCCGAGGGCCAAGTAGAATTTTTTTATGGTCCTATAGTTTCGATATCCTTCACTCCCCTTTCTTGCTTGGCTGTGTAGTCTTGGAACAAGAAAGTTGGCTTTGAGAACCCCTGTGAAGGCTTGCCCGAGCACAGCCAAGAAGCTATTAGGTTTTGCTGCCTGTGGTATGCATCGTGAGCCTCTTTTTCGTCGGGACGGAGATGGGTGGGCGTCTGGCACTCAAATTTCCGCTGATTGAGGGAACCTCGGATCGCTGGCTGCCTGCACTGACCGGTGACCCCTTCCTCGCCAGAAGATTACTGCCCCTAGGACAAAGCTCGGCCTCCCAGCAGCCACCTCCAGAGAGGAGGAGAAATCTCTGCCCATCTTGTTTTAGGTACCACTTGCCACTGGTGCCGTGTCTCTCCCTGACTTGGTCCCATCTATCACCAACCTCTACACTGAGTACCAAGCAACAAATCATCATCACACGCATTATCATTCGCGTCCACCGCCTATCATTCACGTCCACCGCCAATCATACTCACCCAGCATCTCCATCGTAATGTCGCTGCTGCGGTCATTGGCCAAGGAGTTTGTGACGGCGCCCTTCAAGCACGTCGTGACCCAACCACCACACCACCCTGCCTTGGCCCCCTGGACCATGGAACTCCGGCGCCCGCCGCAGATGCGTGTGCAACCCCGGCACCTGGCAGAAGTCGCGCACGAGTCGCTCTTCCAAATTCCGGAGGCTGTCGAAGAAAAGGTGAGCTGGGGGGAGATCTGCTGCGTCACTCCCTCCCCCCTCGACTACATCTCATCATCAGTGCCACTTGACCATGTCGTTGAAAGACGACATGACTTCCCCATAGCAAGAATACTCTGGCTGACAGGGCACTCTCGGCAGATTCCCGCCTTTGCGTCGACTCTCTTCATCGCCACGGCCATCGCACTTAACGTCGTTGCGGTCATGGCCGTCACGACCGTCCCGGCCGGAGAGGCGGAGCCAAGTCCGAGAGATCTACAGGAGCCCTCGAAGGAAGAGTGGGGGCAGACCCGTGGCGGGAAATTCTCCGATCTTCCCTTGACGCTATGGAACCAATGACAGCTGTTTCTCTTCTGCGCGAGCAGGGAAGAGAAGCGTGGGCGTACATGGAGACGGAATGCCCCCTCGGGTGGCAGGGCTGACGGTGGCACAGAGATGGAACGAGTAGGACGGGTAGGGAAAGAACGAGCGCTCTCCCCGCACTCCTGCTTTTCTTGACTCGCATGATGGAAAGCGCGCGAAACTCGGATGTAATGTCGAATAGACTGCAAGACGGCCAAGCCGAGAGCCCCAGCGCTTCGCTGCGGCCGGTGATACAACCTAAGCGAGGACAACACAGAGCGGGCGAGGGAAGGCAGCAGAAGAAAAAGGAATCATAAGTATTTGTTTCTTTACCCGAGAGACGAATCTGCACTTTTACCAACGGGGCACCACGTGAGGTTTCACGCTCCTCGGGGCCCATTTCGAATGCCACTGGTGGCACCCGATTGGACTGGCTGTGGTTTCTGTTCCCAGGGGACAGGAAATTGAATGGTAGTCTCATCCGATCACTGCTACTTGTGCCCTGCTTCACCCGTAGCACAGAAGTGAAGCGCATCCGCAAAACGGTTATCGGGTCCGACTGCCCGGTTCTACAGTCACCAGCCACTCCCGCTGCCGGGAAGGTGCCATCCACGTAGTCTCGGGTAGCACCTGCCTCTGGGTTGTGATACCGACGAGCGAGGCAGGTACCAGCTTCCATCCATGACGTCACCTATCTCAGTGCTCGCAGCATATACTCGTCCGTAGCTTCTTGCAACGCCCATATCATTATAGAAATTTCACGCAGCTTCAGCTTTACCTTCCCAGAGAAACAGCTCCAGCCGGGGCGCCTCTCTCGTCTTTGCGTCTTCTCCTCCCCGACCCTGTGATTCCTCCGGCTGGGGACGCCGTGCAACCCACCCAGGTCACCCACTCAAAAGATACAGAGCCTGCCATTGCATCACCCTCTAGAACCTTCCCTACCCTGCAGCTTTGGAATGATGGCCGCTTTCTGCAACCCCGTGTCACCCTCCAAGAGTACGACTATGAGAGAAGGAGAGTGACAGGCCATCACGACATGCAACGACGACGACCCCCCGAATTCGACTTCTCCGAGGCCCCGCGAGCCCCTCCGGGTCTCGAAGCCCGCCGATATGGGAATGCCAAGACACGCCTGCCGGCCCGCCGCCGGTGCAATGGAATCATCCAGCAACACCCATGGTAGCACATGGGCTCATCTCCAGAGATGCGCAAGGCCTTGGCGCGGCACCCAGCCGAACAGTTTGCTGACCGCGTCCCGCATGTCCCCGGCGTCGGCTACTACTCGACGATAACGCCTGGGCACCCCTGAGCCTCATGTCTACGAGAGCCAGATCACCCATCCCACCACCTAGACAAGAGGAGTGAGCTGTTGAGCGCGGTGTACGGTTCTTCGGGTCACGTAACGAGCGAGGGACCCTTTACCCATCGCCCACACGGCACACGGATAGCTCCTTCGGAGGCGCACGACACCCACGATAGATCGCCCACACCTTGATTGATATACAAGGCTTAGGCGATAGATACTCCTGGCGCCCTTCGAGGTCGCCTTATATTTACCTCTTTCCCCCTCTTGCGGTCTCCTTGATGCGATATGAGCACTGAAGACACGCCTCCTCCCTTGTTGAGAAAAGGCTGCCTTCTCCACCTGTATCACTGACCAAGCTTGGTCAAAGCCACGGTTGAGCTTCAACCATACATCAGAAACAAGCCCAGACCAATCAGAAAGTTTCATTGACATGACCACACCCAAGTCTGGGTCTTTCCCGGGCTCGGGCACCCTTTCTCGCGCTCGCCGCTGGCCGAAACGAAACCGCCATGACAGCAGGGTGTCATCCGGAAATACTCACGACAGCGACAACGGCGGCGATGACGGCGACCCAGAGCCATCTAGTGCTCAAAGAAGCAACGACACGACCGCATCTCCATCCTGCATGGTCTCACTTGCCACCAAGATTTCCAGAGAGGCGGCAAGGCTGGAGACGTATATGAGAGACCACGGTGATACGATGCCCGATTTCGGCCCAGACTCATCACCAGACTATCCTTCGCTCCCGGACGATATTGCTGAGAGCCGACGGGTCGTCATATCTGCTTCGGCTGAGCTATGGGATCTGGCCACCGGGCCCAGAGAAACTCTCAGATAGGGAGTGTGGGACATGAGTTCTACAGCTGCTGCGGCCTCCTCTTCCTATGCGGGATGGTTTAGTGTACATCTAACGTCGAACCTACTTGAGAAAAAAAGTTTCTGGATATTATAGCCTTTCAAGTCCTAGGGCACTTTGAAATAGGCAAGCGTTCCTATCTCAGCAGTTGGCTGGTGGTTTCTTAGGCGATACGCTCGGGCTGAGATTCCGAGCAACGGTAGCCAAGCTCGTCCCCGAACAAGGCACAATCTCCCTCTCAGACCTAGCGCGGCAGACAGCCCTTGACGACGTCAACCTGGCCCGGCTCCTCCGGCTTTCATGATGCGGCGCGTCTTCTGCGAGCCATCACCAGCCCAAATCGGACACACGGCCGCCTCACGCCTCCTGGCCTCGGACCCTGCCATGTAGGCGTGGATTGGACTCAACACAGAAGATTTCCTCCCCGCCGCGGACCACGTACTGCAGTCACTTCTCGCCAGCCCCGAGGCTACCAGTCCGCTACAAGCCGGTTTCAACTATGCATAGGGCACGGCTGGCATCGAGCCCATGTTTGCCACTTTCAGCCGCCAGCCGGCTCGTGCCCATCGCCTCGGCCACGCCCTGTCCAGTATGACGGGTGGTGAGGGCTACGAGGTTCATCACCTGGTACAAGGATCAGCCAAAGTGCTGGGGGATGTTGACTTGAGGGGCGGTACGCTGGTGGATGTTGGTGGAAGCCATGGATTCGTGTCGGTCGACTTGGCCCGGCAGCACCGGCGCATGCGCTTCATCGTTCAGGACCTTCCACGCACCATCGAGAGCGCGCCGAACCCGGTGTCCGAGGACGGGGATGCCACACGCAGGATCGAGTTCACGGCGCATGACTTCTTCACCGACCAGGTCGTCAAGGGCGCTGACGGTACGTGATTTCCACCCTCGGGGACTGTGCTGCACTTCACCACCCTCCATCTCTTATATTTTCCTCCTCGCCCACTGTGCAGTTGCTCTCTAACCCTAGACAACCCCACAGTCTATCTCCTCCGCTGGATCTTGCACAATCACTCGAAACCATACGCCGTCTCAAGTCGCTTGTACCAGCCCTCAAGCCCGGCGCGCGCATCATCGTCAATGAACACCGCCTCAGCCCCTTCGGCGAAAAGAACGAACGGGACGAGCTGCAGATGCGTCGAATGGACGCCCTGATGCTCTGTCTCCTCAACGTCCAGGTCCGTTCAGAGGCCGAGTTTCGGGATCTCTTCCGGGCTGCTGACAAGCGCATGGCTTTCAAGGTGAGCTGCTACCCCGTCGCTAGTAATCAAGAGAGATAACCTGACATTTGCGCAGAGAGCCACGCGGCCGCCAGGCTCCAGAATGAGCATTTTCGAGGCCGTCTGGGAACCGTGATGACGAGGCCTATCTGATTGGGGTGAGGGTCAGTGGAGGAGCTCCATGGCGAACACGACGCTTCCTTTTTCTGAATCCTTCTCTATCTGATCGCTTTCTTAATCTGTTTGGGGGTCATGATCACTTTCTGGATCTGTTTGAATCATAATGGTTTCGTTCATATTCAGCGTAAACTCCAACCAACTACCAGCTAGTTATATTACCAAGATTTTGACCTGGCAGCACCCCATAGCCTAGCTCCCATCACCGCCTATTAAACGTGGTGGGTGCATATGTGTACAGTAAAGCTTTGTGTGTGTGTGTCGACAAAAACCCAACGAAAACAAGTAGAGTTGCGGGAAATAGGTGTATCCAAGATGGCCCGCCGCTGTATATCGACCGAGTGTGTATATGAGGCTTGCGCTGTCGTTTTGTTTATAGATGTAGGTGAGCGGAAGACGCCAGGCCTGGCTCCGTTGCTTGTTCAGTGGGTTTGTAGTAGGTAGAGGAGAGCAAGTAGATACCAAAGAGGAGGTGGGCGAGAGAGACACAAGAATGGAATAATGACACAAAAAGAAATGGGGTATGAGGTTTATGCGAACAAGAAAACGACTCGCGATGAAGAAAACGAGCCGCGATGAGGAAATCCCTGACTGCTGACGCATGGGGTATAGGATATGCCGGATATGTACAGGTGTGGTACTGCAAGAAAAGACAAGAAACGAAGAGAAAAGTATTAAGTTAGTTTGGTTAAATGGTATCTCTCTCTCTCTCTCTCTCTCTCTCACTCTCATCTGCTGGCCTTTTCGGAAATGGCAACGAGGCGATCAACTATCGGCGAAACATCCTCAACAGCGGGGGTGGTCTTTGGGCTTTCCCGCCCTCGTACGAAGACTTGGGCAGGGGTTCCGAGTCCCTGACGAGAAGAGCGCGTTGCGGCGCGACGGCCCCGCCGACGGGCCCAGCGCCGACATCGACGGCGAAGTCGACCAGATTGACAGAGTTTCCGTTGCCGAGCGTCAGGTTGCGGGCCTGAGCGGGGGTGACAGGGGATGGGGCAGCGGAACCCTGGCCAGCGGCCGTGAAGAAGCGCTGAAGAGCAATCTGCGCCGTCTCGGCATTCTGGAGCGTTTGCTGCTGCAGCACAAAAAGGACCGAGATGCGAGCAAAGTCGAGCACCTGCCCCGTGACGGGAAATGAGGTAGAGGCGGGTGGTGGGTTACGCTGGGTGGTGGACGTGCTGGGCGGTGGCGAGCGGGTGCTGGGTGTGCTAGTGCTACGGCTGCTGCTGCTGCTGCTGCTGCTGCTGCTTGTCCTGCGCGAGATGGTTGTCGTGACCGTCGTCGTCGTCGTAGGCGGAATCGCGGTGAGGGTGGTGCCAAAAGAAACGGATCCGGAAAGCGTGGTCGAGAACCCCTGGCCGGCCTGACGCTTGACCACAACAGTGACGACCTCGACAGCAACGCCTGCGGGTACCTTGGGTAGCTCGGGTTGCGGGCCCTTGGCAGCATTGTTGGTGGTCCCCGGCACAGTGGCCTGGGAGAGACCGCTGCCACTATCGCCGTTGAAAGTGACGAGGGCGTTCTCGGCCAGGCAGCTGAGACTGCCCGAGTTGAACTTGGCCAGGATCTGGGTAACTGACAGGGGGATCGAGAAGTTTTGAACAGCGGTCTGGATGAGACGGGGCAGCGCGTCGCCGAGGGTGACGTTGTTAATGATGTTGCTGCCGACGTTGGGGCTCTGGTCGACAATGTTGGTCGTCGTGCACCCGTTGGCGCCGGGGACGGTGCACGTGGCGCCGGTGAAGCCGCCAGTGCATATGCAGCTGCAGGCGCCCTGGGCAGTCACGACGTTGGTGCCGCCATTGGCACACGTGAGCATGTTCTGGCACTCGGTCAGCGCCGGCTGAGCGTTGCCAGCCCCTGTGTTGCCGCGGCGGATGACAAAGAACTCGACCGGGATCACGACGGCGGCTGTCACGATGATGAGCAGCACAATGACCAGAATGATGAATCCCCAGAGCGGCAATCCGCAGCACCGCCTTCCCTGCTTTTGCTCGCCCCGGGAGTTGCTGGCGTTGTTGACGCCGTTGCCGTTGTTGCCAGTGCCGGCGATGTTGTAGGTGGGGAGCGCAGGTGGCTCATCGCGGGGAGAGTTGTCCCTGCTGCGGCCAGCGCCGCTGAAGCGGGCGGGGAGTGGCCACGAGTTGATTTCGTCACGCACGCTCTGACGCCAGCTCCTCCGAGCCTGGTGCACAGGCTGGGCCGGGGGCGGGAAGGCTGCAAGCATGTCCGAGAGACCAGATTGGTGTTTCTCATAGTCGCCTGAGGTGTGTTAGTTATCTCCAATCCGGCCTTGAGGTGGCTTAGCGCTACGGGGCCTGCTTTTTCAACTCACTTGCGCGGTTCTTCTCCGACTGACCCGGATATTGGTCCATGTCGTCAAGAAAGCGGCTCGCGGGCCTGCGGCCCTTCTCGAGGCTGGCCGCCAGGCGGGTAGCTCGGCGAATAAGATCCGGCAGACTCGTCAAGCTGCCACGAGACTCGGCCGCCTTGACAGCGTCAATGTCCAACTTGGGTGGCCTGCGAATGGCTGAGAAGTGGCTGTATTCACGCATGGGCTGGGGAGAGACTGGTAGGCCGCGGTTGGGATTCGACGGATCGGGCGAGGATGCCGCGTCGTACGCGCTCAATATTGACTCGGCCGTCAAAGCTGACCCTGCAGCACCTGCAGCGCCAGCCACTGCCATTGCTGGTGGGGGTCGCAGTCCCCGAGACCTTGGATCACTCCCAGAGCTAGTCGAGGACGCATCGACGTAACCCGTTCCATCAGTAAAAGGACCCGGGTTTCGTGGAGACGGCACGGCCCTCATTCCCATCTCGGGGACTTCAGAAGACCGCTGTGGTGCAGGAGTCGACACGAGCAGCGCCTTTCCCCTCTTGCCTATGCTGGCGCTGCGGACGAGCTGGCTCTCCTCGCCCTGGTCGTCGCCACCATACATGCCATCCCTGCCCTCTTCCGGAATGGCGTCTTCGAATCGGGATTCCGGGTAGGTAGGGCTTGGACCAGGTGATATTGGCGAATCCCAGCTATCTCTATCCCTGGGAATAGCCGCGCTAGACGCATATGATGCACGCGATCTTGATCGTGGGCTCTCTTCGGGAATGGGCGACACAAAGGAGGCGTTGGAGTAAAACGAGGATGCTCCACGTCTTGCCGACGGAGGCGGACCAAGGTTGACACTCCTCCTCGGAGGCGCGACTGGCGTTGCTGTGATTGGCAGCGGGAAGTCTGGTATTGACCCGACGGAGTCGACTGTGGAGGGGCGCGAGGTAGAGGACGTGGCCGACTGCTGCAGAGAGACCTCGGACTCGCGGTTCGACTGGGACTGATACTGAAACACGGGGGTCGGATCCTGGAGCTGGGAGCCGTCAAGCATCGAGGGAACGCGGCTCGGCCTCGGGGGTCGCTGCGGGGGATACGATCGGCCTGGTGGAGGTTGATAGGGCGCGAATCCCTGGTTAGCGGCCGAAGCCGAAGGCACTATCGGCGGACCGCCGAGCGGCCATTGGGGAATCTGGGTTGCAGGAATCTGAGTCGGTCTCGAAATGTCGTCGCCGGTAATGGGGCCGTCGCCGCGCGGTCGTGGGATTCCAACCCTGGGTGGCGAAGTCGTAATGGCCTCGGCGACAGGCGCCGGCGAGGGTCGGACTATCGGTAGCGGCAACTGGGGGTTCGGGCCGAGGCCTCCCTGAGGCACCCGGATGGGCATCCTGCTGTCGCTGGGCGTGCGACTTGCCAGGCCGGCCATTGCCAACTCGCGCGCGCGCCTGACAGATCCTCCTGGTATCGACTGTGGCTCCATATCTCGCCCATCTTGAGGGTAACTCATTTAGCAAAGGCCACCTCGATAGCGACGGTCGATGGGGGCATCCAAGTGCTCCCACGGCAGTCTCCTTTCTTTGGTCCACGGCTGATCCACTCTTCCAATCCCGCTCCCAGCAACAGGGGCCTTCTTCCAACTGCGCGGCCTATCCAATAACAAGCGCATATGCAAGAATCCGCGCGGTGATGTCCCCCGGGACTCGGTTCGTGAAAGAAATGCCGACTTTGTCTCGGCAGTCGATTGAGAAGCCGGCGTTGCACGGGATCGAGAAAATGCCGCAAGAGATGGTATCCAGGCGTCAGTCAATAAGAATAATAATCCTTTCAGTCGGTGTTTCGATGCGCGATCAGGCGCTGCTGGCAGATGTTCCGGACTCTGTTGGCGCGCTCCAAAACGACTGGCTGGAAATGGGTATCCTGAAAAAGGAGAATAAGAACAAGATGGCTCCCCTGGTATAAATCGTCCGACTCTTGCGAAGCTAGAAAGGAAAAAGCAAAAAGGAATGAACGGTGGTGACAAGGAAAGAAGGCCGGCTGTTGTGCAACGGCGCAATCCAGTCTGTCGGCGGTTGGGATACAGGTCTATGCGTCGTCGTGTATGTCCATCGAGGAGATTCAGCGGTAGGAATGATGCGCCTGCGTGGTTGAGCGCGGCGGAAACGAATGAATGAATGGCGGACCTGCCCGTGGAGAGTCGTGAGCGAGGCCTCAGAAACAACAACAAGGAATTAGGTAAAAGCGAAGAGCAGTGTGAAAAAGCAAAGGATCAGGAAATGACCAATGCTGTCTGGCCAGAGCAGGAGCCGTCAGTCGTTTGCGGAGACAGGCAGAGGAGAAAGCAGGGAATGAGAAAAAAAACGATATTATTGTGGCGAGCAGCCAGCAACGCGCAGCGTGCGTCCGTGTGAGGTGTGGCGGGCGAGGTGATACGAGGGTGTGGGACAGGAAGGACACGGATGGACGGGATGCTATCCTGGGCTGGGGGATGCCCGTTCCGGGGGGGCGTGTGGGTGCCTGGGGGGTTCGGTGGTGCTTGTATGCTCTCTGTAGCAGACGAGCGGGAACCCCTCGTCCCTTTCGTGACAAACAGTTGAGACAGCGAGGGCTGGCCCAGAAACCCCCGACAAAGCGATCTGCCTATTTGGGCGGGGTGCAAGGGGGGAGCAGAGAAGGCAGGCAACGAGACTGACGGGCGGGACGCGGCCTCGCTTGCGGGCTCGCCAAAGGGCCGCGGGTCCCAGAACCACGACCAGGGGCCAGCCTGAACGGCCTGGTCGCAGGTAGGGAGGGAAAAAGGGAGATCACGTACGTTTGATGTTTCGTCCGCTTGGCGCCAGAGCCGCCTCTGCGCTACGCTCTCCAGCCCGGCAGGTGCTACTGTGTAGTAGGTGTACCCTCCAGCAGGCAAAGCGGAGCACTGTTTGTTCCGTGGCCCGATTCGGCAGCCGCGATCGGGAGAGTAGGTGGAAATGGGAAGGTGCGAAGGGGACGGGACGGGCAGGGAGACAAACTCGACTCGGCCAGCTTCGTTCGCGGCGAGGGTTTGGGTGGTGGGAAGGGGAAGAGAGCGGCAGAAGAATCAGGTACCTATAGGGGGCAAGACAAGCGCGGAAACGAAGGAGGGGATTCAATGGCTGAATCGATCACGGACCCGAACAGGCCTGTGCGATCCGACGGACCAGCAAGACTACCCACAAGAAACCAAGGCCCCATCAGAGGAAGGACAAAGGGAGAGCGTGCGAAAAAAAAGTATATCCAACATGGGACGGACGGTTTCCCGTGGATCGTCAGTGTGCGCATGCAGTTCCTTGTGTGTGAGCACCTGCAGCACGCAGAGACAAATCCCACCCAAAATACCACACAGAAGCCACACCGCAGCTACCCAAATGTCTCCACCGCCGTTCGCACGGGGTGCATGCGCGGCACGAATTCGGACGGGGGCCGACGACGTGGGTTGGGGTGGGTGGGCAAGCCCCGACGAGAAGCGGCTTTTGCTACAGGCGTGTGTCGGGTCGGCTGCCAGGAGGTACTGTGGTTGTATACGAAAGAAACCACCCACCCCCAGTCAATCGCCAAGCCCGCTGTGGTCGCGCCTTACCCAATACAGCCTAAGCAAGCCAGGGCACCCATCCCCTGCTTGAAAAGGTACTTCCTGCAACCCGACAGAAAACTGTTCAAACTTGTGCACGTCAATTAAGCTGATCCCTTGTCGCGGGTCAGTCAAGGTGCCACTTTTAAGTGGGTGGGTGGTTATATACCCATCACACCTAGTAACCGTGGGCGAACGCCACTGTCGTCGGTCAACAGCGTGGTGAAGACAGAAAAAGAAAGGGAGGGGATGCTGTTTCAAATCGGCGGGGCCGAGCAGGGGGGCCACCCACAGAAAAAGAACAAGGGGGCGCCCTGGAAGCTGATCCAGAGGCAATCAGGCACTGGCTTGGCTCCGTCTGCATCCGTGTGGCGTTGCTTTGGCCAACTGCTGGAGGCTTGGGGTGTGGTGACCTCGACTGTTGACTGTTGACTTTGTCCGTATCGTTGCAGCGCAGAGCAACTGTAGCCTCCATTCTGGGCTTATACGGCGGGGCAGCGTGTTGAGCACATTCGCGTTCTTGTGCTGTGCCATCGTGGCATCAAGGCCCAGCGTACATCTGTCAGAGCCCCCAAACACTACCTCGCCTCGCTCCTCGCTCATATTAGTGCTACCGCACGTAATAGTCCCGGAAAAAGCATCGAAGGATGCGCCTGTGCGCCGCTGCGAGCCGCGGAATGATCAAGTTCTACAATTTCACCTTCTTCCCGAAATGCTCGTTTCCCCGGCCACAAATCTCGCATGCGCACAAAAATAAAGCACAACCGAGCATCCCTTTTCCCTCTCGGCTTGGGCTTGGGGTTCCAATTTGGGAAAGAAAGCGGCGCCGGTCCGAAAAAAGAATCACGTCAACAACGGCATTTGGCGTAAAAGTGGCCCCCACCCAGGAGGCTCACGTCAACCCTCCAGACGATTGTGCTAGAAAGGAGAGCGACCCCCCTCAATTCACCGATTTACAGCCAACCGAGCGGTTGCGCCAAGTCAACTCGTGGCGCTGCTCAGGGGTGACGGATCGAAGTTCGAACTCTGGACCCGTGCCACCCACACTCGCTTGCCAGTTGCTCAGCAAACGCCAGGCCCTCTCTTCTGCGGCATGGATGCAGGTACCAGCCAGAACGGGCCAAGCGTCTGCGGACCTGAAAAAAAGGGGCCAGGTATCCCTGACGGGCAGGTGGGAAGCCCTCTCAATTCCCACACCTGCGTTGGGGCGGCCAGAATTGGGCTTCAAGGGGACAAAGCGACGCCAAAATGGGCGCCTTTCTGCCGCTGAAGGCCCAGAAGCGGAAATGAGAAAGCGACCTGTGCATTTCTACGATGGTGGCAGGCAGTCAAGCCAGCGATCAATCTCCTCCATCCCCCAGTATACCTGTTATAGACAAGGCGATGTGAGGGATCATCTCTCGTTTGACGGCTGACATTTACTTGGCCTTTTCATCCATTCTTGACCTGTCGCGGCAGTCTGTCTGCTATCCTCGCATCCGCAAAGTATCTACGAGGGTTCCTGCGGAAATGGATGGGACGGGGCGGTAGTGGGCGGCATGGTTCGCTCGTTCTCCTTGCTCAAGCACAAGGCGAGAGCACTAGCGATTTCTAGCGGTGATCATGACGTTGGGCTGACGATTACGAGCTGACACGCATGTGCCTGGCCTGGCCGTGCTCGTGGGGACGGGACATTGACAGCGAGCCGGCTGTGCTAGCGTTGGCGCTGGCCACATGGGAAAAAAAAGGGTCAGTGTGGCCGGCGCCTTCACCTTCTCCCCAAATTCGCCGGCGCCGGCGCCAATGGCTCGCCGACAGACCTGGCTATGCGGTTCCCAGCTTGTGACATGCCATTGCACAGAGCGGCGATCCTTGCGGAAATGCGCGCCGACGGCGCCGCTACTGCTCGCTTCCAAACTTTGGATCGACAAGTCAGTAAACGGTCTTCTCCCCCACCAGCTGGAGGGCGTCCACTGGAACGGGATCATCCGGGCACAGTTACGGTTCGTCGTCACGCGCCCGGCCCCCAGCCGGTCGACAGCCCGCCTTCCTCCTTACTCGCTGAGCAAACCCCGTTATGTCGGCGCCCCATTATTGAACAGCTTGTGGAGGGACGACTTTGATGGCCGACTTGACTATAACGCCCTCTTCATAGCGCAGTTCGCGTCATGGTAGCGTCGTCGTCATCCGTAAATCGCTGCGCCGGCCCTGGCGGCTCCACGAGGGCGGGATTCATTCATTTCCTTTTGGCGCGGGGGAGAAAAAGCTTGCGTCGGGTGGAGAAAAGAGACCAGTCCCAGGCTGCTGCCGGGCACTAATCAGGACCGGCGACCTGGAAACACCGTACCATCACACGCGTGGCCGCGTGGGCTGCCTGGCCCGTGTCTCGTAACCTCCATTTTCCGAATAGCCTCCAAAACCCCAAGTATCAAAATTGTTGGTACCGTAGGTTTCTTTCCTTTATTGGATCGTTGTACCAAAAAAGAACCCCTCCCGCCTCGAAGATTGCCCTCAAACTAATGTATGTCCATTTCCTCATTCCTGTGCTTATTTTTATCCCTCTTCCTCATCTTATTATACTTCTTTTCCTGGGTTGTTTATTCCTATTCCTGTTCATATTTATATTCATTCATTAAAGGGACTGTCCCATCGCCATGATGATTCAAATCGCTGGACGTAACGTCGCAGATCTCTTCCCCGAGTACTACTAGTCCCTCCAGTCTCGGGGTTGGGGTTTTTTTATATCTTTTTTTTTATCCTAGATAGTCGCAGCCGCCGTGAAATGTCTAGTGTCATGGAAACGAACCGCGAAGCAGGCGACTATTCCCGGCGGCTGTATTTGAATCAAATATGCCTTCCCGTGCGCCATGCCTTCGTGGCTCAAACAGACAACCCGTCTTCTGTACGAGGCACCTAGCCGTAGTGTGCAATCCGACCCAAGCGACTACGTGGTAGGCGGTAGCGTGCCGTAGTCAGAACTGAATGCCGTGCAGCGCAGCTTCAAGACAATGTTTGTGCTGCATCGGAGCAAGGTCCCGACCAGCCCCCCGCTAGCAGGAATCCATCCCATTTATCATTTGCAAAAAGCCATTCGTTCACCCACACAGTTGGGTTTACCTATCTTTCTGATATTAACCCAGCTTCTTCGGATCAACCCAGTATACCTACAAATCGCCGAGATCCCAACCCGCAGGCGCGGATCGATACCTGCGTCTATGCGCGTCTCCCTAGTCAGCACGTGGGAGGTTCCCCTCGCTTCCTTATCGGCAGCATCTCTGGCCTCCGCCTAGGTGCGTCGTCGCTTCGCCCTCCCGTCTCCTTATCCTTCCCTTTCCGGATTGGAGGCGTGACCCTTTTGGCTGGGTGTTTGTGGCCCCGCCCCAGCGCATCACCTCCAAGCCAAAGTTCCGTGTTTCACAAGGGTCGACTTTGAGACAAGACGAGCTCCGCATTCCGAGACCCGAGACGCAAGCCGATCGCCTTCCGGCGACTTGGCTCGTCCTATGGTTTTTTTTCCCTTTCTCTTTCGTCTGTTTTTATCCCTCCCGCTCATCAGTTTCCTAGTTCTTGCACGGTACCGAGCGAAAGCGACGTGGCAGTTGTTGTTATCTTCTCCGCTATCCATGCCCGATCTGCTCTGTGCCGTCTGATATAGATATATATTTTTTAAAAAATAAAAATAAAAAATTTCTGACAGGTTGCGGGACTTTGCCTCGTTTGGTCATGCGCATGCAGAGATGCCATCTCTGACTCAGCTGCCAAATTATGTCCAAGCAGGAACGCTGTTATGCTCTTCACAAACGGCGTGCTTCGTTTCGTTACATTGCTTGTTATGGCCTCCGCATGACGCGCCTTCTGGGTGCCGTTGATTGACCATCACCCGGTCTGACAGATACCCTAAAATACCCTAGACAACCCACTACGGAGGTGTGTAGCGTTAATATTCGCCCACTGTTAGGTATCTCCGCAAACGAAGTGGGGGGCAAGGGTATGAAGGGGCCAATAGCAGCACATAGAAATTAATAAGGAAAAATATTTTTTCAACATTTATCAATTAAAAAAAGCTCGATTCAACGGAGGGGTGAATAAAATAAAAAGAAGCTAAGCCTGATTTGGTAGGGGTTAGGCATGGGGGGGTCCTGGCTGCTTCATAGCAGTGGGCGATTTTTTTCGCCTCTCCGTAGGGCTAGGTCATTGATGGGCCCCAGACCCGGGTGGCCAAGCCCTTCAGGCGCGTCAAGACGTCAAACCATCATGACTTAAAAGGTAAGGCGTCCTGCCCATCTCTCTCGTCTGGGGAGCTCAGACGACGCCTTGTCCCCCTAGGAGAGCCTGTGGGCTTCATCTCAACTTGCATACCGTGAATGTCCGGGGTGCAAACAAAACCGTCCGTTTGAGCACGCCTTGAGCGAGGAGGCCAACCGCCGTGCTCCACTCGGGGGATTATTACTGTGTAGGCAGGGAGAAGAAAAAAAAAACAAGGGGGTTCGCCGCCCTCGAGGCCACGCAGTGGCTCGACGTATCATTCATCTCATCGGATCAAAACACGCAAACACATTGCACGCTCGATATGCAAGTGCTGCGGCAGATCTGCAAACGACGGCCCGGTGGGTGGTCTGAGAAGGCCTGCGATCGGGTCATCTCAGATGGACAAACATTTGATGGCAATTCCTACAACCTCACTGGCCTTGTGTATGCAGACATGTGCATGAACCGTAGCTCGGTTTTACTTTAAGGAAGGAGTCCCCGGAGTGATTCCATGCCTAGGTACCACGATCCACAGTCGCCTCACTTGACTGGGCCGTCCTCCACAGCCGGGGGGCTGATGCAACCAAGGATCTATTCTCGTCAACTTTGTCCTTTTGATCTCCCCCCTTATCCAGTTTCCCAGCCCTCGTTGTTATCAATGTGGACGTTGTTTGTTCCAGGCGGATAGTCATGGACTTGCCCTTCATCAAACTTAATCAGACGTTCTCAATCTGGTATCCGTAACTGTGCGTTCGTATACCATTTCTGGACTTTAGTAAATGCTACGAATTTTATGGTGATGTTGTATTCGACACCAGGGAAAGTAGGTTTACACGCGCGCTTGGGGTTGTTGATTGCAGTAAGCAATATTGAGGTAGGAAGGGGAAGGATGCATCACGTTGATCCGTCCCGCGCTCCAGAACAACCTCCAACATGTCGCATTCAATCCACCTGATTGTGTTGGGCATAGATGGTGGTTTCACAGACAGCAGTTTGTAGCTTCATTGCAAGGCGGCAATCGAGGGACAGATGTCCTGTCAAGTCGTCGAAGATGCGAATCTGCAGGCTCGCAGCGAAGGCCCCGCACAGGCATCAATGACGCACTCCGACATCCAGGAATTGTGGGCGCCTGCAACGCAGATCATGGAGCGGCATTTTGGGGGGGGGGGGGGCAGGTGGAGCGTCACGGGAATGTGGGAATTCAGGGGTCCAGTTGAGTCCTGAGGCAGCAACTACGCCATCAAGCGGCGACTCTGGAATGTGGCAGGACAAAGAACAGGGGCTGCTGATTGGGCGCCGCAGTAGTAAGCACGAGGCCCTTGAAGCCAGCATGCCATCGCCAACCAACACGAGCCTGTCCTCACCCGACCCAGATCGGTCGCCACACTTGACTTCCATCCAACTCTCCCGTCTTCTTTCTCTTCGCCGACCCATCAAACGACAACCCCAATCAACCCGACTCAAATCACATTCACCTGAGCGCCGTTGCGTCAATCCTTAGGTTTCGCTTTTATCTATATTTGGTACGCTGGGCGATACACCACCACGACCTGTTTCCTAGGTCATCCACTTCGCTTTGCTTCTCCTTTCGTCGACTCTAGACCCCGCCCCTTCTCCATCGCCTCCGCAGTAAGGGACCACCAACCCATCGCCCTCAGCTGTCATCATGCTGCCGAGACCTATTTCCATCGCCGCCGCTGGCTTGGCCGTGGCTACAGAGGCCTTCCTCCTCCCGCCCGGTGCCCTTCGCGACGCTCCGGCCACGCACCGCGAGCCCCTCTTCAATGCCCTGCCCTTTGAGGTGACGGCGGCACCGAGCTCCGGGCTCTCGTCGGTCCACCTCCAGTCGGTCCAGCTCGGCTGCCCCGGCTGCGATCTCCGTGTGGCCGGTTACGTGGGGAGCAGCTTCCGTCTGAAGGGCAAGGCCGAGAACTACCTCGACCTCGGCTTCTCCGTCCATCACGACGCGTCGAGCGACCGCCTCCTTGTCAATGGCTTCGAGCTGTACCCCGAGTCGGACCCGCTCGCGAGCCAGCTCCGCGCCTCGGTCGTGCCGCAAATCGAGGCCATGCCCGGCGATGAACACCCCAAGCCCGTCATGATGGCCATGGAGCCCCAGGACCTCGGCTTCGGCCTCGTCGTCCGCACCGACAAGGTCGACGAGCAGTCGGGCGTTGAGCTCATCAGCGTCGACCTCCAGGTCATCGAAGTCGGCAACCGCTTCATCCAGGGGCTGAAGAACATCCACATCGATCTGGTCAAGGACAAGAGCGGCGCCCTCATGATTGGCCGCATCGGGCAGTCTGAGTCTCAGAACCCTGCCGAGCCCGCAGGCCAGTGCACCTCCCTGATGTGCAAGATGAAGGCGGTCGCTGTCGGCGCCATGAACAAGATCATGAAGCCCCACTGCGGCGGCAAGATGGCCCACGGCGCTCACCCCGGCGCCCCCCACCACATGCCTCACCACCAGCCCACGCCTGCCGACGGTGCTCAGATCCAGTACCAGCACACCCCGCGCACATGGGCCCGCCTGTTCAAGCAGCTCAGCTACTCCATCGTGCTGCCTGTGCTCGTTGGTATCTTTGCTGGTATCACCATCAGCGTCCTCGGCATGGTCGTTGGCACTCTCATCGTTGGTCTTTGGCGCTTCTTCGTCCGCGGCCAGACTTTCTTCCCTCGTCGCTGCCACCGTCGCTCCGGCTCCACGTCGCAGCATAAGGCCTCGGAGCATGATGCCACCGTCGCTGACGAGAAGTCTGGCCTCATGGCTGCCGAGGACGTGCAGGACGTGCCTCCCTCGTACACCGACGAGGAGGCCACCAAGCCTGCCCCCGCCGTCTAAGCATTTCCCTCTGCCGACCTTAGGATCTCGCTAGGGACACCGACAATTGGCTGTTTGACGACAGTCGCCAACACTTACGCCCTAAGTGCTATCTGTTCTGGTGGAGACAGTCATATCTCTGAAATTGAAAGGAAGGAGAATAAGAAAACATCAGTCATTACAAATATGCCATCTATCTAGGTGTTGAGGGCGTTTGAAATCAGCCACCACTTGTACAGCAAAACTGGTATCTTGCCTGGGTTGTGGGAGCACAAGGTCTTCTCCCAGCCCTCCCGGCGCTTGGGAATGGTCTCGATAAGACATGTCCTACGCCACTTTCACTCATTTTGTTATTGGTATCCTTCTCTGGCTTAAGGGGTCTGGATTTGACTCTGCGCGAATACTACCTCAATACTCCTTTGCTGCACGATAGCATTTGGTTACCTTGATATCGTTAGACGCGGTGTCACCGAATTCAATCTCGATTATTCCATCGCTAAAATGTTTTGGGTATGATCAACGAAAACAAATGGGCGTGATGGGCACATGTTGAAAAATAATTTAAAGGTCCATGGCGCTAAAGTATATATCCCTACCGTACGTACGGACGTACCATGGTGAGGGAGGCAAAAGAGAAATCATCTGCTTGCGTCGGGAATTGAACCCGAATCTGCTGCTTGGAAGGCAGCAATGCTAACCATTACACCACGCAAGCTGGGTGTCTAATTGGATGATGTTGTGGCTCGCTTGTGGTGCCTATGAGTAGCGAGTCATGGCCGAGGCTCGCTTTGGTACTCTGCTGAGGCTGAACCCAACGACATCCACGTCGACATAAAGGCGTGGACGCGGAGAGATTATCTGAATCTGGAAGGCTGCAAGCAAAGCCATACGGTTAAAATGCATCAAGAGTGCGATAAAGTTAGTTGGATGCAAGCCATTGACGCTTTTATGGCGTAAAGCGCAACCTAGGTAGGTTGAGGAGGAAGTTTGTATGAATATAAAAGATTGTAGGCGCTCCTTGTACTTTGGCAACAGAGCTGTCCAGTCCCATCCGCACACCCGCACACTCGTCCCTCTCCAGTGAATCACCAACAATCACGCCAGTATCCCTGAGTGCTTGCTCCCCCCCCCTTGCCGCAAGCAAACATGACGCGGAGCATCTGGGGCCCACCGCCACCATCGTCATTGTCATCATCCGTGACGTCCAGCCCGGCCCGGGCCAGCGCGGGATCCGATGCGCTGCTCATGATCGACGCGGACAAGGGCGAGGCGGCATCGGCGGCCATCGAGGATCTTCGGGCCCGCCTGGCCGCGGCCGAGGAGCGGCTGAGCGCGCTGGAGAAGTCGACGACGACGGCGACGGCGATGACGACGACGGCAACGACGACCAAGGACGAACGTGACGTGGACAGGCCGAGGACCCGGTGGGAGGAGATGCAGGAACTGATTAGGCTCGGATTGTACGTCCTCCTTTCTCCATGCTTCCTTCACCCACCCCAACCCCCCTTCCCCTCTTCACTATTTTGCTTTGCTTCTCCTCTTCGGCAGTTTGGTACCGTAGGCATGTCGGCTGCTAACTTGCCCCTTTCTTTTTTAATAGTGAAAAGTCCAGGCTGGCGCGTTATCGGAATCGCAAAGTCGGCACCGCAACCGGGCGGCTCTTGCCGATCTACTCGAATGCAACGGGCAAAGAGATCGAGCTCTGCCCTAAAAGCTTCGAGGAGCTGAGGAATATGGGCAGTATGTGATTCAGCCCCCTCCCCTTCCTCTTCTCTCGTTTCCCGTCTACCTATGGGATACCTACCCTCCTTTGCCGTGAAGTGAAAGTGCTAACCCTGTACCTATAAAAAGACTCGCATCTCAAGCTGCTCCTCAAAGCGTTCGGGGTAGAGCCACTAGATATGACCGACGAAGAGATGAGGGAGATCGTACGGGATAAAATGGACCTCCAGGGTTATTATTACGATCTCTACTGTGTAGAGGAACCCGATGAAGAAGACGGGGAATAAGAAAAGGAACAGAATGGGAAGAAAACGGGAGGAAAACAGGAAGAAAAACGGGAAGAAAAACAAGATAAGGATTAGAATAAACCCACGAATAAAAATAGGAATATGAAACCTTATAGTACTAACATTCCTAATCTTTGCCCCTAGGACCTGTAAGACTGCCATCGTCCTTGTGGGCGGGGTGCCTCGGCTTCGGGAGACGGTTATCAATCATGTTGTGTTGCCGGTGCTATACATCTACTTTATATGATATCTACAACACTTTACGCAACATCACAGGAATCTAAATTAACCAACCTGCTCAGGACGAAACACCTTGTAACCCCAACTACAGATCTTTCTTCTCGGCGACACCTTTCCCGCCCCTGGCTTTTGCAGCCCCTAGGGACCCCGGAGGAGACTTGAGTCCAAAGAAGACGAGGAGGGTAACGGCGGCGATGCCCAGGGCACCGATACCGTATGCCACCTCGCGGCCGGCCCACCAATAGACGCTCGTGAAGAGGACGGGGCCGACGCCTCTGCCGAGCTGGCCCCAGCTGCGGAGGGCGCCAAGCTTCTTGCCGCGCTCGCCGGCCCCGGCCTCGAAGCTGCTGAGGGCGTTGAGCCCCGTCACGACCGTGGCCGACGTGGTGGCCAGGCACGTGGCGGCCAGGTAGAGCATACTGACGGAAGAGGCACGGGCCAGCAGGGCAAAGGCAACGAGGCAGGCCGCGACGCCGAGGCGCACTGAAAACAGGGGCGGGAGGCGGCGCGTCACACCGCCCTGGAGGATGGAGGCGACGAGGCCGATATAGCCCAGCAGGCGGCCGTTCCGGGCCGAGGTATAGCCGAACAGATCATACGTCATGAAGGGGAGCGAGAACTCCATGCCCGAGAAGAAGAGGAGGAAGGTCAGGTGGACTGTGTTGAGAAGGAAGTGCGAGTTGGTCCTCTTGACCGGAGCCGGGCTCTTCTCCTTGTCAGCGGCGGCCTTGGAGGTGGCCGCAGCACCCTTTTCAGTCAGGGCCGGCAGAGTTTCGGGCAGAGCGACATAGAGGTAGGCCGTCTCGGTGACGATGAGGAAGAGGGAGAACCCGGCGGCGGTGGCGAAGGGGTTCGCAGCCACGGTGGGTATGGAGCTCAGCCAGGCGCCCAGGGCGGGGCCGAAGGTGAAGGCGATGGAGAAGCAAGCGCCAATGAGGGCCATGGTGGAGCCACGGCTGGTCTCGTCTGATATGTCGGTGGCGATGGCGGTGGCGAGCTGGACGTTGCCCTCGGACAGACCGCCGACGACGCGCGAGGCCACAAAAGTGCGGAAGTCGACGGCCACAACCCACAACAGGACCGAGAGGATGTTGCCGCACATGCTAGCCAGGAGCGCGGTGCGCCGGCCGTGCTTGTCCGACAGGCGGCCGATTATGGGGGAAGCGACAGCCTGCAAGAGGCTGCGACGCAGACAGAGCCCACCGTGTTAGTGCTGAAAACGTGCGAGTTGGGGGCGGATTCTGGCTGCATACGAGAATATGCTCCCGAGAGCACCGCCGAGAAGAACGATGTCATATCGGGAGTCTATCGGCTTGGCGAAGGCGGCCTTGTAGGCGTTGAGGTAGCCCAGCACATTGGCGAGCAGAGTCGGGGGGCGCTGGCGCCCTTCAGAGTCGAGACCAGCGGGAGCTTCGGAATTGCGATAGAATTCAAGCAGGTTCGGGAAGAGCGGGAGGATAAAAGTAAAAGAGATCTGGAGGCGGCGGGCGCAGAGCGTGTTAGTCGTATCATTGCGCTGCTCCCTCACGATATAGCTAGCATGTCGGCTGTGTCGGGACGATGGAGGAGGGGGAGGGGGCGGGCTGTCGCACCAGGTCAAGCAATAGGGAGACGAAGATGACCCTGAGAACCCTCTTTCGGGTGTTGGCATCGACTGAGGACGCCATCCTCTGCGACCTGCGCGTCTGGTTGAGGTTTAGTGGGCTCGCTTGGGCGCAGTGCGGCTGTTGGTGCGCATTGGATAGGGAGGGAGAAAGAAAAAACAAGGATCCGAGACAGGAAAGTAGCCCAAAAGTCTAGAACAATCAAACAAGGAAGGCACAGCGAGTGCGCGACGAAGGTGCTGGTGGGACAAAAAGAAAGAAGTCGGCGGATGTGGTCGACACGACCTCAACGCCACTGCACCCAAAGAAAACACATCACCAACTTAACTTCGCCGCTGGCCAGCCTTCCCTTGCTGTCGGCTCTCGCCTAGGCTGAGCTGAGGTGGAGGTGGGTCCTGAGCTGTCGAAAACGGGGACTGTGCTGAAAATAGCGACTCGCTATTGGACCCCTGAGTCAGTGCCCGCCCACCTAATTGCACGTCTCTCGGATGTCCCGCCATCACACAATCTTTCATTCTCTTGAGCCCTTTTTGTTGTTTCTCGAAGAAGAGACGGCAGCCCACAGACAGTCATGCCTCGAGTGAAGCAAGCATAATTCCGGAAATGTCCCGATACGACACATGCCGACACAAGCGAACACAAGCGAACACAAGCCTGCAATATTCGCATTCTTGTCCACGGCTTCCACTGTTGGGCAATGTGCTGGCCGACCGTGCTGGCCGGCACACCACCACCACCCTTTCCTCACAGAACCAGCCTTCAGCAGCTGTTTGACATCACTCAACACATATGATGTCTCTCCTTAATTTATTGGCCTTTTTCATGTTATCTACCTGCCTTCACCCCCTCTGATATTCATCCAAGACAGGTTTCGGAGCTAGTGTGACGCAAACCTGGGATGTTGCTGTTGGCCATGATAGCATGGCACTTACATGCGTATCGAAACGACCGACTTTACGGCGCCAAGGGATGAGCGTGGAGCTGGCTGCGCTCGTTGGCCGGAGGGCCACAGCGCTACTGTACCTGGCCTCCGATGATCCGCCCCATGGGATTGGCCACGCCGCAGAGGTAGGGAGGCACAGAGGTCATGCATGCCCCTCCCCACTCACCCCCTCTGCACATCTCCGCCTTGCCGTCCGTCCATGGCCGCCGGTAGTTCCTTTGGGGGCCATTGTGACAAGCTTGGCCACATGCAGGTACCGATCCTGTTGACACCACCCTCCCGAGCCCCGGCCTCCTTTGTGGAAAACACAGGCAACATAGCCAGCACGGCCGTGGTCAAGCGTGTGATACGACTACTCTGCTCACGACCTTGGCACAAACGTAGCCCTGCAGAGCCCAGAACAGCGGGCAAAATCAGCCGACTGGAGGTGCGTGACCATCCGCTAATACCTCGGCCGTTCTAGCTTCTTCTCTCTGCCGCTCGCGTGGCTGGGTGAAGCGATGATGCAAGGAGGAAGTCCGGGACGGACAGGGAAGATTGCAAACGGATTCTGCCAGCAGGCCCGTGGCCCAGGTGGCGCTCTGCCGCCCCCCTACATATCATCATATTGGGATAGTCAGCTCCGCTAGCTGCTGGCCCCGACGGTCGGCCCATCGCCCGGCTCTCCTCTGCGGGGTGATGGCAGAAGAAACAAAAAGTGGGCATGCACGCCACTGTGTGCTGGTTGGTTGTACGGCTGCCGGCCTCCTTATTGAAAACACACGCCGCAGCTTTAGCCGCCAGCCAACGGCACCGTGGGCCAATCACCTCTCCTCGGTCATCCTTGCCATGGGCCGTCCTCGGCACGACCTGCAGAGCACATCGCCGAGATGGTCAAGGGGGAAAGGACAGGGGAGGTTGGAAAGCAAAGAAAAGGCGTCATTGACCGATTCAGCCTGTACACCCTCCAGTCGATCAGCTCCCCCTGCCTCGCGCGTCCCGCATGCTGCCACGCTACCTGACCACCTGAGATGCTGTGAAGGAGGTGCGCGGTGGGTGGTAGCGGTGACATCGCCCAGCTTTTTGGACCGCGCGCAGATCCTGTGTCTCTCAGGCCTCCCAGCTCCAGTTACGCCGGACAGAGAAACATTCAAAAGGGTGCCTGCTCCCCCCGTCCTCACCTCCTATCGAGAATCTTGAGTACCAACCCGCTCATTTCAGTCACTCGTTGTCTAGTGGAAGCCCCATCTCTTTCCTCACACAACAAATAATCACCTGAGCATAATCCGGCTTCGCTCTCGGCTTCAAGTTCCACCATATCCTCTGGAAAGGGCTATATCCAAACATGAAGACCTTCGCTTCTCTCGCTTTCCTCGCCCTGGCGGCCTCTGCGGCCGCCCATGGTGGCCACGGAGACGACGATGTAAGTTGGCCATATCGTATTGGGCACGACTGTGGCCCCTGATAAAGCGTGTGCTTGTATTGACATGTTCAGAAACACACTTCCCCGCCCGCCGTCACACCGCCCGCGAAGTGGACGACTAGCACCATCCGCGCCACGACGACCAAGACCATCACCAGCTGCCCGAACAAGGATGACTGCGATGAGAAGGACAAGGTCAAGTACACGACCGTCCTGATCGCCACCACTACCACCGTGTGCCCCGTGGAGACCACCAGCAAGGCCCCTCCGCCGCCTCCCACGACGACAGCCTCCCCTCCGCCTTCTCCTCCCCCGCCGCCGCCGCCGAAGACCAGCAGCACTTCCCTGCCTCCCCCGCCCCCGCCCCCGCCCCTCCCCCGCCGTCGTCGTCGCCGAGCACCCCGGCGCCTCCTCCCCCTACTCCGCCGAAGACCACACCCGGCACCATCATCCCCACGCCCACCAGGCCGTCGCAGCCTCCGATTATCACCGCCGGTGCCAATGTCCACCGGGCTGGCGGCGCTCTGGCTGCTGCGGCCATTGTCGCTGCTCTCATCTAGGGTCTCGATCTAGGTAACATAGAAGAGCCCTTGGAAGGCAATGTCTCGAAAGAGGCGTGAGCAAAAGTGATGATGCCGAGCAATGACGGGATGTTTGGGGAAATGGGCATGACGGCTGGGACAGTGCGGAACGGGAATGTGAACACGAAATATCCGGGTCCTTTGCTTCTTTCTGGTTTTGGTCGGGCCTGTGCGGTCGTGTTTTTCAGCTCCAGCCTGTTGGACTACTCTACACCTGCCCCTTGGGTCAAGACATGTTTAATACCGCCTTGTTGCTTTTGGTGTAGATACGAGGGGTAGATTCCCCGGATAATGAAACGAGCCGTGCCTTTTGGCGAATAACTTTGTGAACAGAGAGACTGGTGTCTAGTACGCACAAGACTTTTTTTTTTTTTTTTTTTTTTTGCTCCCTGCCTGTTTGTTGTGCCAAAATGACAGAGGCTCAAAGTTAGCACTCGGCAGATCTTCCAATGCTCGTCTGCCGTACCAGGCGGTCCGGTGGTTCAGGATCGTGATCTCGGCATGCGTGTGCAACGTGACCACGGCAAGGGGAGGGGGATCGACGCGATTTCCAAAACAAGAAACAAGCCCTGCTCGTCACTTGCGGCTGGGTTGGGCCGCAGGGCAGGAGCGGAAGGAACACAGGAACAAGTGGCCCTGGCTGACGTCCGGGGGCCGTTGGTCTTCATCTCGCTAGACGGGCACCTTCCCTCCTTCACCCGCATCCATCCATCCCGCCCCCGCGCGCGAGTGGTGGAGGGAAAAGAAAAGAGAGAGGCCCATCGAAAGGGAACGGGGCAATTCTCCGGTCCCTTCCCTGTTTTTTCTTTTCTCTTGTTTTCTTTCCTTGGCCATAGCATTAAACGACATATTGATGTGCGGACAAAGCGCGTGAGAATAATGCGTGTTGTATGTCGCACACAAAGGCAGAGCCAACCGTAGCGCGCAGTTCATACAGTATGCGGTCGGTAATTGCAGGATTGGCGGACGTGTTGTGGCGGCGGCGGTGGTGGTGTGGGTGGGTTGGCGAGAAAAAGGGGTTGTGTGTTGTGTGGTTGCACCAGAGCCCAGGCCCGGTGTCGATTCGCTACTTGCGGATCTTGGCAGTCGATCGATATTTGGTGGTATTGTGAGATACTACGTACCGTCGCTTTGCGGGCATGCTGTGTGTTTGGCGGTTTACATTCTCATGTCATATCATGGCACTCTCATTGATGAACCGTCTAGGTTTCAGTGGTTTTCCCTGTGTTATTTTCCTGTCATATCTTGCAAAAAAAAAAAAGAAAAGCCGAATGGGTGCTAAAGCAGCGACATCAGCCATGACGGAAAAGTAGTCAGATTGGGTGTTAGATGGCCGCATGGCTGTGTATATTCGTCTTGATGGGTTATCCTTGGATACATCCTAGTGTTTCTTGTCCGGTACACATCTCTCAAGATTCTGAGTTGGGACCTGTCTAGGTTCTCATCCGCAATAAACAAGTAATTCATTTTACATCATATATCCAAGCCTACAAGAATGCCCTCGCCCTCACGGGGAGCCGGGTATCAATATAACAAGGAACGGCCGCCGGGCGATTACCTAGCTAGCTAGCACCCCGCCTCCGCAACTTGGCAACCACGTCCTCGACCCTCGCGCAGCCGCCGGCGACGTCCAGCTCCGCCAGACGGTCCCGGGCGCCGTCGGCGCGCACGACGGCGCACCGGCGCACCTCGCCGTCGGGGCCGAGGACCAGTCGGCCCGCGCGGCCGTCGCGCCACTCGATCCTGATCTGCGTCGCCGCCGTGTCGGCCGGCTGGACGTCGACGATGCCGCCGGCCG